GGTATTTCAGTTCTAACAGTGACCCGGGAACTATATTTTCAGTGGGTTGGCACATTTACTATATATATATATTAATACCTAATTCTGACAGTTGAAATATACATGACCGTGCATGTTATATGGCTTCGTAGTTGGGGACTATCGAAATGAAATGCAATATGGTTTAACCTGTTCTGCTCCAGCTGGCCTTAGAAGAAGGGGAGACTACTCACATATCTGTTTTGAAGAATGCAAAAGTACCGTACCTATGAACAAAACTCAGAAAGATATTCAGTTACAATACAGTACATTTATTTTATTTATTATCATCTTCAAGGAGAATACTGCCCGTTGAAGGAGCCAAGTCTTTAATTCAATAGCATCCACAGTCTTCGGCATTGCTAACACGACTGCCAATTCAAAGGGCCAATCCCGATAATATGTTGGAGAATAAAACTGCTTAATTTTGTGTTAAAACCCCTTAAAATCCTCTCCCTAAGGGCCAAGCAACTAACTCATTATTTGTAATACGATTTCAAACAACTTAAACCCGCCAGTCTTCAACTGGAAATGGAGACCGGAGTCCCAAGCTGTATTATGCAGTGTCTGGATAAAACCAGACTTTTATTTTATAAAAATAATGTGTAGGTGAAATTTACCTTTCGTTATCAAGTACCGCGCATGGGGCATTCACTGTATAGACCTCTAAAGGAATGAGAATCGATTATCAGGTCACCCAACGAAAAAATTGACCCGAAATCTTAAAAGGGTTACTTGTCCGGGTAAGCAGTTTTGACATTTACGTCTAAACGACTCGATATTTTGAGCTGAAATTTTCAGACAAGGTAAATAAACCAGTCCTCTATATTTTGGCGCTTAAATTTCATACGTACTCAGACTTTTATTTTTGAGACTCTGTTCAAATTGGGATAGTCCCTTTAAATCAACATTAATGTTGTTATCTTACAGTGAAAATTTTAAAGTTGGCACACGAATTGTGTACTAGAATGCTTTTGAACGCCAGCTGTAATGAGCGACTCGATGCACAAGGCTAAACGTATTCTGTGTAGGAGAATACTACCGGTGTAGACTGAAATAACCAGATGCCAAAGACTGTCATTCAATTCAGACTCTTCTCGTATTTTGTCGAACATAGCCGATTAGAAATTACAGTAAAAACAGAAACGATTGAATGTAAATCAGTTTGAATACGTTTATATTACATTATTATAGGCGTTGCGACCCATTTGTGTTCATTTCTAGGTGCCAAAGAATATAGCGATTTATCTCCTTTAAATCAATATATTTTGGCACCTTGATTGAACATTACTTTGAATAGAGAAGAAGCAGGTTGGCAATTATCCAAGGGCATTGGGGGCCAATCCCAGCTGGGGAGAGGGGGTGCTGGGGATATTTGCTCGAAAAATTTTGTTGTTATCCGAATTTTCAGAATGAATCAATCATTAACTACAACGAATTTTTGGTTGTTTACTTTTAATTAATTTCACGATTACACGACAATCTAAATTTATAATATGTTAAACAAAAAAACAATCTAATTAAAACACAGATCCTATTTCGTTTCGTTTTTTATAGTTCAAAATTTCGTTTTACTGTTTACTTGTCTCTACCACATTTGAATCTGGAAGATTGTTTATATACTATTCAAAAAAAGTAGGGGATATTTGATTTTTAAGTGTTATTAAAGTCACCTAATGAAACTGACGAAGAAACAAATGACAAAATGAAATGAAGTTCACATTCATCGATTTATTCCAAATGATCGATAGACTAAGTAAGGCACAGACTGACCATTATAAGGGTAAAATGATACCCGGGGTCAAACAGCAAAGTTACCACAGCATCACAACCAAGTCAGTAACGGGTAAATCCTCCTCTGTTTGCCAAACAAGCATTGATCCGACGTGGCATACTCTTAATGAGACGTCTAAGGTCATTTTGGTCCAGATTGTCCCATTCCTGTTGCAACGCAGCAGCAAGTTCTTGGACATTGGCAGGACGTTGTTGACGTTGACGTAACCTCTGTCCAAGCATGTCCCAGACATGCTCGATGGGGGAGAGGTCGGGACTCAGTGCTGGCCAAGGTAATGTGGTGATGTTCTGTTGTTGGAGGTAACCTGTAACGATCCTGGCCCTGTGACATCTTGCGTTGTCATCCTGGAAGATGAAACGGCGGCCATGACGTCGTGCGAACGGCACAACATGGACTGCCAAGATGTTGTCCCGGTAGTACTGGCCTGTAACACGCCCTGCAACAACATGTAAAGCCGTTCTTCCAGCAACAGTGATGCCTCCCCACACCATAACAGAACCACCCCCAAATCGATCATGTCTGATGACGTTAACGTCTTGGAAGCGCTCGTTTCGACGACGCCACACCCTCCTACGTCTGTCCAAAAAATCAACAGTGAACCTTGACTCATCTGAAAACATCACATTGCTCCAGCGTCGATTATCCCAGTGTTGACGATCCCTACACCAACGACGTCTTGCCTGAATGTGATGATCTCTCAAACAAGGGATCACGCGAGGACGTCGGGTGCGAAGGTGACCCCTATGCAGTCGATTCCGAATCGTCTGGCCACTCACTCTCACACCAGTGTCTGTTTGAAGACGAAAGCTGATCTGATTTGCTGTGATGACACGATTTCTCAAGGCCAAGGTACGGATAAATCGATCCTGGGCTTGAGTTGTCGCCCTTGGTCGACCTGAGCGTGGTCTGTCCTGTACAGATTGTGTATCACGGTATCTGGACCATAGCCTGCTTATGACAGACTGAGAACGTCGGGTGCGAAGGTGACCCCTATGCAGTCGATTCCGAATCGTCTGGCCACTCACTCTCACACCAGTGTCTGTTTGAAGACGAAAGCTGATCTGATTTGCTGTGATGACACGATTTCTCAAGGCCAAGGTACGGATAAATCGATCCTGGGCTTGAGTTGTCGCCCTTGGTCGACCTGAGCGTGGTCTGTCCTGTACAGATTGTGTATCACGGTATCTGGACCATAGCCTGCTTATGACAGACTGAGAAACATTCATCGTCCGCGCCACAACCGCCTGTGTTGTGCCGATCTGTAGCATGCCAAGGGCACGTAACCTTTCATTTTGGGTAAGCCGACGCATATCAAAATTTGTTTTCTGGTCACTTAAACAATTAAACTGATGTTTCCACCCTGGAATTCAATGCCACAATGACTGTAACATTCAAAGTCAGAGTCGTGCAAATCTTGGGTTGGACCCCCATGATGATCCCAAGCATCACCTGCATTCCATGCGGGAGCTATTGGTGCGTTTGGGCGTCACATGTAACTGGAAATGTTTCTTCTGTTAGATTCTATAGTGACTTTTTTCGTAGTCATTTGCATATTTTAGTATTATGCCCCCAAAATCAAATATCCCCTACTTTTTTTGAATAGTATATTACCGGCGTTCTGGTTGAAGTGAGGGATTGGTCAATGAAACGGTCTGCTACGGCGAGTTATTGGCCTTTGACGCACGGAACTGTAGATAAAGCACTAGAAACGTCAAAGCTGATGGATTAATCAAATGCCGCTCGTACTACCCCTGACACGACCTTCCAGTACAACCGGTCAAATCTTCATGTAGTGTACGCCATCGAAAGTAAAAAAAAACGAAACGAAATATAGGTTTGTATTTTAAATTTGGCAAAAAACAACTTAATGTTCCCCATTCTCTGATGTATATGTGCCCGAAAAACGGATGGCCGAATTGGGGGGGGGGGGGGGACTACGGCTGTCCGCAAACTCTAATTTTATTTTAAGCGCGTGAACTCATACTGGCCAATCAATGTGTCCTTATTAGTATATTAGGCTAACTTACTGATTGCACTTCGAAGCCAGTTGCCAATAACAGAGACGTTGAAAGTAAAACTGACATTACTAGTAAACTGTATACACCACGATTCGGTCGTTACGAGACCTGTATCCATTTCTTTTTAAGGGGGGGGGGGCGCAGCCTACTCTTCGAATTCTAATTACTACCTGGTGATCTTTTACGTGCACTGTTAATTTGCACGCCTCGATTTTATCGTCCCATCCAAACAACTCAACACACGTTCCGTAGGCTTCACTACTTTCAAACGGGGATCGGGCTTCAAAATCCCAATTGTTCTATAGTTATTCTTTGGACACGCAGGGATTCAAACCCGGAACATTTTGAGTCGATGAGTCCAGAGTGCAGAGTCATAACCACACCACACCCTCCGTCGGTACCTACACAGAGTATGGATAACTATACGCTCTTTCTTTATTAATCTGGACTTGGTGTTGGGGGGGGGGGGCTAACGTGTGTGCTTTAGATTATCCTATATTTGCCTGTGATGGTTTGTTACGCCTGCTTGGACCATCGTTCACGTTTTTTTTTTTAATTATTATGTCGTTTGTGAATCATCCATTCCTAATTATTTCCACACTGTGTCGTGTTACAAATGGCTTCCGAAACCACAGAATACCCGATCGACTTGTACGTAGGCCTACTATTTATAAAATGTTTATTATGTCTTAAATATTGGATATTTAGGATCCTATATTTACACAGTACGATAATAACATCATTATTGATCGATATGGACTTTTAGCGTATTGTAATTCGTGTTTTTAATTTTCCATATTATGGAAAAGATCATGGACCTTATAAGGTTTAGCTCATTAATGTACATAAGCTAGACCACTTGACGCCCTGAAAATATATACTTAATGTGCCTCCACCCATCGTTCATTAGCCCAGTATAGGAGCAGAACAGTAGGACGTTAAACCCCATTTCATTTCATTTCATTTGTTATCCTGCATTGTCTATTATAAATAGGACGTTAAACCCCATTTCATTTCATTTCATTTGTTATCCTGCATTGTCTATTATAAATAATGGGATACCCTAAAGTACGTAATGAATATTAGTAAACAAAAACCAAAACCACGTGTCTTCTTTCGTTTTGTTTACCAACAAAGGAACTCTTCAACATAAAGTCAGAAATGGTATAGTACGCCTGTGCAGAAGGCTTTACGGAAGTTGATGTACATTAATGGCGACACGCAGAAGAATTTGATTCGTCTATGAATTTACACCAATAATTATCTCGTAAGAAAATATAATAGATCTGGATCTTATTAATCTCCAGAATGTCTGCTAAAGAATTATTTGAGAGGATTCGTCAATTTGACGCTTATCCAAAAACATTAGAAGATTTTAGAGTGAAAACCTTTGGTGGAGCTGCAGGTAAAGAATTTAAAAATAAAATTAAATAGTATTAGGCCTATCTAAATAAAGTCAAAAGGTGAGAGTGGCGAAATCTTAAATAAATTGTATTAATGAAGATGCCCAAAATTTGACAGCCCTGTGTGGTGTCGCTAGCCATGGTTTTAAAATGGTTGGTTGTGCCAAATATCTTCTTTTGATTCTTTTGAATTTCGGGGATCACGTGGCTAAGTGGGTAAGACGCTGGCTCGCTAGCCTGGAGGTCGGGTGTTCGATCCCAGCTTTGGCCGAGAAAGTTCATCCAGTTCCGGCGTGGTTCCCCCTTGTCAGTGATACAGGACGGAGGGTCTGACAAGGACAGCTGTCTAGTCCTTCGGATGAAACGATAAACCGTGGTCCCGTGTATACATTGGAATGCACGTAAAAGATCCCTTGGCAGTTGGAATTCGATATAAGAGTAGGCGATAGTGCAGCTGCCCGGGCAAAATTTCCCTCATAGCACACTGTATGGCGTATGCCCGTCTTCATTAGCCCAGTTCGGAGCAGAACAGTAGGACTTTAAACCCCATTTCATTTCATTTCTTTTGAATTTCACCACATTCTATGAAATGAAATTCCAGGATAGAGTTGGAGCTAGGCCTAGGGATTTGATCTTTCATTTTAAACTAAATAAATGACCAAATATGGAAGTCTGGTTGGCAAACAGGTATTTTACACCAACTTCATGAAGATGCATTATCACTCTCCCCCAAGAAAATGTATTTTCAAATCTATTCAGAAGAACATTAAACTTAGAACTTATAGTTATTACCAGTATCAAAGATCGAAGCAATGTCCTACATGCAGTTAACTTACAATTTAAATATGGTATTTTCATGAGCATTCGCTTGACCCCTTCTAAACCAATAAAAAAATTTATGATTACCGGTACTTGAGCCTTAAAATGTGTTTTAATCAGATTGGCATTAATTAATCAAATTTGAATCTTTGCATGATATGTCACACTACAGGCTACTGATACATTGACATCTATTAAAAAATTTTGAGTTGGATGGCCAAATGGTTAGCACGTCGTTTCGATACTCCGGTTGTGCATGAAAGACAAGTAGGGTCGTCTGTTCAGCCTCGTGGGTTTTCTCCGGGTCCTCCGGTTTCCTCCCACTGCTAAAGACCCCAACATGCAAGCGAATTATTGAAATAAAATTGAACCATATGTTATCCCCCGAAATCACCTAGTTTGTGTCCAGTGGACGTTAAACCTCATTTCTCTATCGCTCTATTTAAAAATTAATGATTTCCAAAGCATTTCATTAATGCCCTTTTTATCTCTAAAGTACAGTGGTATGACTGGCATCCCAATGAATTGTTAATCAATTAATTATCTAGTGATGTTTTTTGAATACTGAGCTGAACAGATTTTTTTTTTTTTGTAAAATTCAGGTTTTATATATTTTCAGTGACTATTATTAGTGGCTTAATTATGGTAATACTGTTTGTATCTGAGATGAATTATTATTTAACAAAAGAAATCCATCCAGAATTATTTGTTGACACCACACGTGGTCAGAAGTTAAAAATAAACATAGACGCAACATTTCCTAAAATGCCATGTGCTTGTAAGTATAAAAAAAATTTGCTGAAAGTTTTGAAAAGCTTTTAATTTAATCCGATGCTGGATTTAGGATAAAACAAGTGCTGCCAATGTTATATATATGTGTATACTGTAGCTGCTTTTGTGGTTGACAGTTTAAGTTGAAACAGCTTAATCTTTCGAAACTAATATATATAGAGCTTTCCTTATTACTAATCACAACAACATGGTTGATATCCATATTCAATATTTTATTTTAACCTGAATGAAAGAGGTTTACCTCCTTCAGGTTAGATTTATTTTTGCATCTGTAGATTTTAAATATCGATTTGTTTTTACCATCTCCAGATTCAGGTATAGATTTGTTTCTTGATCTCTAGATTTAAGTATAGATTTATTTTCTCATCTCTAGATTTAAGTATAGATGCTATGGATGTATCAGGAGAACAACAGATTGATGTTGATCATCATTTGTTAAAACAAAGAATAGATAATAATGGTGTAGCAATTTCAGAAACGCCAGAAAAACCAGGTGGGCATATATTATTTTAATTTTTTTAGGAGATTTTCCATCTTTTTCTAACTCCTAACACTAGATAACGATGATACAAAAATGTATAGGTACCGTACTAGAATATATTTTCTAGACACCTTCATTCAAACACCACTCTAAATAAAAGATTGCTTTCATGATATCACTGGTGAAACCAGAACTAGCACATGTGGTACATGTTTGTCAATTGGAAATTATAGAAATATAACTAATAGTGGATTTTATAAACAAATCTGAAATATTTTCTAAAATCATCGCCACCTCTTTTAATACTTTATTAAATTAATAGAACTTTCCCTCATAGCACACTGTATGGCATATGACACAGCTTCATTAGCCCAATTGGAGCAGAAAAGTAGTAAATTAAACCTCATTTCATTTCTTATTTCTGTTATTGTTAATCATCTCTTTATATTTCAGATTTAGGAGATCCATCCCAAAAACTTGTTGAGGTAAAGTTTTAAAACATGTTTATACATTTACACTTTATGTAGGAGTATATAGTTGAATGTGTATGTGGGTATATTTTTTGCCTACCAGTGCTATATTTTCTGGTGATTTTATTTAACAAAAGATTCATTTAAATTAACAAAAATCTTAAAAGATACATTCCCACAAAGGTATTTATCTGGTAGTTATTTCCTATAAAAGTATGGTTATTTTGGTATATTTTGAAAGTAGAGACACTTAATCTTGCTAGAAAGATACTGGATTCCATGAAAAACACCCAAGAACAAATGTGAGGGTATAACTACATGTACATGTATGATAAATGGACTGCGACTAATGACAAATACAAGCTAAAAATGGATTCTCCCTCAATCAAGTCACATGATTGGGCATGGTTTTCTTTTTATGTTTTGTAACCGATTTCTGCTCTTACAGTTGTCCACAGGTCATTCTCATGATTCATCTGAAATTGCAATAGAAAATGGGGGGAGGGGGTAATAACAACATGTCTGCCATGTCTTGAGAGGGAGAAGAGTCGTTATAAGTTGATTAAAAACTCAGGCCTTCACCTCGAACCTGATGTTAATAAGTTTTGTTCAATTGTAGGTAGTAACTAAACCTTTAGATCCAGCTAGATGTGAAAGTTGTTATGGGGCTGAAACAGAAGAATTAAAGTAAGAATCTTTAAATGAATTACTGGGTACATCTTCATTGTGAAAAGTAACCCAAATGGCCCTTACACAGGGTTTGTATAAGATTTTTTTTAAAAAGTGGATGTTTCTGTTCCTTCATTATCTTACCAGCCTTAATTCATACCAAATTCTAAAGTTGAATGTAAATTTTATACCAAACTTTAAATAACAGTTAGGTAAACATGACACTTGAGTCAATATTGGCTGTTATATCCTCTTTGTGATGATACAAGTAGCAAACAGTTTTGGCCAAAATAAATGAAATGAAATGAAATGGGCTTTAACGCCCTACTGTTATGCTCCTATACTGGGCTAATGAAGACAGTCATACGCCATACAGTGTGCTTTAAGGAAAATTTTGCCCGGGCAGCGGCACTATCGCCTACTCTTATATCGAATTCCAACTGCCAAGGGATCTTTTACGTGCATTCCAATGTATACACAGGACCTCGGTTTTTTCATCTCATCCGAAGGACTAGGCAGCTGTCCTTGTCAGGCCCTCCGTCCTGCATCACTGACAAGGGGGAACCACGCTGGAAAATCTGGATAAACTTTCTCGGCCAATGCAGGGATCGAACACCCGACCTCCAGGCTAGCAAGCCAGCGTCTTACCCACTTAGCCACGTGATCCCCATGGCCAAAATAAGTTGGCAATTTGGTACCTGAGGTCTCAAAGAACATGATTTTGTACTTTATCCCTTTGTATCCATTTCTGCTCAAGTTAAGCAGAGTAATAAACAAATTGATTGCTAGATGCTTTAAAAATTGATGGATTTAATATTGATGTGATCAACATTAGCCCTTCTGTTATCTTGTTTCCACAATTATATAGTGAGTAAAATTTTACACTGGGAAATTATTTGATTTGTGTTATTATTACAGATGCTGTAATACATGTGAAAATGTACGAGAAGCATATAGAAAGAAAGGTTGGGCATTTAATAATCCAGAATCTATAGAACAATGTAATCGTGAAGGTTGGACCGAGAAGATGAAGGCACAAAAAGATGAAGGCTGTAAAGTTTATGGTTATTTAGAAGTAAATAAGGTAAGATTCCACAGTCACATATTCTTTTTTTTTTAATTGACTTTATCTCTATCTAATACATATTTCTGATTCTCGATATATTTTTTTAAACACTTTAACACAATTGATTACTTCCCTTGTGTTTTGGGATTGCCTCATTTCTACAAATTGAACAGATCTGTACTAAACTGAAATCTAGATTAATATAATGATTTGGAAATGCTACCTTTTCATTTAATGGGTTTCCTCCCTTGCTGTGAAAGCTGTATCACTGTACTGTGCAGTGAATGGTTTCGACCAACCCCAGACCCATTCACTTGATTTGTTAGTCCTGTTATTATTTAACTTACAATGTCCATATATAAGTTGTTTGTTTGAAGTGTCTGGCACATAATTCCTTTTCAATCCAATTATTGTAGACAGGATCATAGATAGATTTTCATGACCTGGCATGATTTCTATCTCTACGTTTGATCGCATATTCTTGTAGAAAATGAAAACTTATCCAAAAATAATTTCAGGTTGCTGGCAATTTTCATTTTGCTCCTGGAAAAAGCTTTCAACAACATCATGTTCATGGTAGGTTTATTATGGTTGTCTTTGTTTCAACAGACTGTCTTTGTTTCAACAGACTGTCTTTGTGTCAACAGACTGTTTGTGTCAACAGACTGTCTTTGTGTCAACAGACTATCTTTGTGTCAACAGACTATCTTTGTGTCAACAGGCACATTTTAAAAGAATATAAATGTATTTAATTTTAAATGGTAATCTGAAAGTCAACTAATTTTGAATAATAATCTTAAAACTCAATTAATTATCACAAATCCAAGCTCTGCCCTAGCTTAAGGTGTTAATCTCCTTGAAAACCACTAAAAAGATTTGCATGATTCTTAAATTGAAATTTAAAGGAGCTTACCACCAACTCGTATTTTCCATGATATTCGAAATTAAAAACACGGAATTAAAATTCATTATTGGGCCATTTCAATCAATATTGATGTTGTTATCTTGCTTTTAAAATATGGGGTTACTATCCAATATTTAAGGCACCATGAACATTATAAAATCCTACAAGACAATGCAAAAGTAATCATTGGCGTGGATTTAGTTGGAAACGGGAGGGGGGGGGGGACATGTACCCCCCTTCCGATTCTAAGGGGGGGGGGCGAATAGGTCTCTGTCCCCCCCCATTATTTTGATCGCCAGGACAGATTTTCAGGTTTATATCCACATGATGGTGAGCTTGTTTCTACGTATCTGGAACTGAATCGGTACTTGGAACAAGAATTGCCATTCTTCAAGCGCCACGTTTTCGGCCAAATCTTTTTTCACTTGTGCATGAAGCGTTCCTCATTATGTCACATGAAGTGAGGCAGATGTTTCATTCTGTCGAAGCTCTTCTCATCTCACACTGCTGAACCCTGCTAGTTCCTGCTCAGCCGAGCGATCCTTCAGCACTCTGCGCCGTATCAAAACTTGGCTGCGCAAGTCCATGACGCAAAACCGACTGAAACACTTGATGGCGTGTGCGGTGCATAATGACCCCCTTCATGTCGCAAAGATATTCAAAGAGAACAGTCCTGATCGTACAACGAATGTCTTTGGACGATTCACTTAACTTCATGAACAATTAATATTTATGCAGCTTTGATGTAGGTAGTCAATTTTTCCATATTGTCATCATATTACCCCTAGTTACAGCCTTCATCGAAATAACACTGGTACAGTAAACTGTTCGTAATTATTTATTTCGTTTGGTAATGAAATGTTCCAGGTTTCGTCTGCCCCCCCCCCCCCCCAAAGTTATGACAAATCCATGCCCTTGAAAGTAATAAGTAACAATTGATTCACAACCGACGAAATGATAAAAAACGTGTAAAATGGATTAAGCAGGTGTAAATGACTACTCTTTAATTTGGACTGTTTACATATTTCACCAAACATAATTGATTACAAATTACAATACTTTTTTTAAGAATTGAATATACATTCATAAATTGTATATTATGACCTTTTAGACCAATTTAAGGTTCCAAAGAATAGAGCCATACACCCTTTAAAATGGATTGGCATATTTGTTGAATATCTTTTCCGTATTTTACCAATTGGTCAAGCCCTCCAAGTGGAAACTACTAAACATTATTACACCATAATAATGAAGTGCTAGTGTAATAATAATGTTATTGGATAAATTAAACCTGTCTACATTAGCCCAGTCGGAGCAGAACAGTAGGACGTAAAACCCCATTTCATTCTGGATAAATTTAACACCTGTTTTAATGTTTTAGCGCTCTTGTCAATATAATGCATACATTAATATCCTTGTTAATGTTATTATATCTGTTTCAGTTCATGATTTACAAGCTTTTGGTGGACAAAAAGTAAGTTAGTATCTTTGACTTTAAATAGAAATTTATCATATTATTCTGACTTTATAAACTAAATTCTCTTTAACATTGTTTATATTATACATTAAAACTCAAATTGAATTTGGTATTATAGTAAATATATTCTATGAATCATAAGTTAAGATAAAAATCCATCTAATAAAGATTATATGTTTCTTAAACTTATCCTTTCTGGAACACTGATACCACTTGTCAATTAGCTTATAGTTGGTTCAAGTATCTGAATTCATCTTGGCATTCATTTTAGTTTGGTACTTTATCAAATTGTTGTGAAAGGGTTGTACCATTGTGGGGTTTTGAAGAGCATTTAGTGCTGTACTGACTCATGTTTGGATCAAATGGATATTTCTGAGGGGCTGGTTGTGCCTGAGAAACATACAATTAATTTTATGTTGATTAATCAATATGTTTGGTGTTTTATTTTCAGTTTAATTTATCCCATCGTATAAATCATTTATCATTTGGTCAAGATTATCCAGGCATAGTTAATCCTCTAGATGGTCTCAAGCTTGATGCAGAACAAGGTAGTTATAAACTGTGGTTCAATTAGTTATTGTCTTTCTGTAATTAAATACAAATCACAATTTTTATCATATTACACTTTTAAAAGTATGAATCAGTCAATCTTTATATATCAAAAATTGTTTATATTCACGTCCAATTCAATATGATAAAAGTTCCTTTAAAAAAAGACATATGTCTGTAGAAAAGGTTTTCACAAAAGCAGATCCAAACTTATTTTACCCGTACTTACTCTACACAGTTCAAAACTAGTTCCAGAGTTATGGCCCCTGGCTGATACTTAACTCAATTCATCAGATTTTTAGAAATAAGGTGAATATCAATTTTGAGCATTTTCAAAAAAGTACATGTGATTCCAAAGTTATAGGCATTATGCAAGAGTTATATCTGCCTATTGCAGGTCTTTCTTATATGAATTTTTAATTAGACATTAATTAACTTACCAAGACCATATTCAACTATAGATGCCATTGTATAGTCGAGATTTTTAACAGATTTAAATCTGATCTGCAGTTCAATGGTGGTTGATGATTAACCGTAAAAATGGATTATCGAGACTTTCTTTATTGTAAAAACGTAAAAACGGTAGCAATAACAATTAAGAACTACAGTCTTATTAAAATGAGGATTTCTCGGTTCAAAGTGAAGTAATTTTACTGAAATTTTGAACTTATTCCATTAACATTATCTATTTTTTAACTATTATAGCAAGAACTGCCAGCTCCTTATCTAATCTTCTATAATTTCTGCTTTAAATGTATTTGATCATATTTTAAGGAATAATTAATAATGGGACCAAGATGGTCTAATGTTGATTTTTGATTTTGAGCATTTTTGAAAATGGAGTTCCAGAGTTGTTGCCCATGATATAAGCGAGTGTTTATAAACTTACATTAACATATTAATACTCACTCTACAGATTTAAGTTTGAGCCGGATTTTCAGAAAAGACTCTGGAATACTTTTATTACGCTAATTATGATTCCAATTGATTGTGAATGTTTTCTGAAAAGTTATTGCTCCTGAATTAGAATTAAAGGATAAGGATATTACTCATTTGTACATAGTATAGTACAGATATATAAACTATACGAGGGGTTAGATGGCCGAATGGTTAGCGTGTGCACGTTGTATCATAAGGTCTGTCATTAAGTCAACTGGCATGGTTTCGAATCCACGGTTGTACGTGACAAGAGTAGGGCCGCCTGTCCTACCTTGTGGGTTTTCTCTGGGTCCTCCAATTGCTAAAGACCCCTACGCGCAAGCGAATTATTGAAATAAAATTGAACCATATGTTAGTCCCGAAATGACCTAGTTTGTGTCCAGTGGACGTTAAACCCCATTTCTCTTTCGCTATATAAACTTATACGCAGACATGTAATTAGACTGCATCCTCTCATAGTCGAACATCAACTAGTTTGTAATTAATATAAATATTTTAATCTGTCAACCACATGAATGAATGAGGTAGTCAACATTATGAAGAGATGACAGGTAGCTTAATTCAAGATCTTTATGTATAAAGTATAAGATGTTATGCATTTAGCAACAAGAGTTTCCATGACACTTGCGCTCTTCAAAACTTATGTCATGGACTCAATGGTAACCTAATTACTATACAAATTATAAAATGAATATATCTTTAATGGGATACGTGCCAACACATGTAGTAGATGGTCAGTTCCATTTGGTCACAATCCATTTTTTTTAGTTATCAGAAAAGCTACTTGTAAATTTGGTAAGTCGCCTTAGAAGGTAATCATCACATGATCGTAATTGCTCTAAAAAAATGATACTTTAAATTATCAAATTAAACTCCGGGAATGTGGTTGAAAAGTAGACTTTACAAGGGAGGACGAAAACACATCTTGGTACTTTCTTTAACGTTTTTAAATAAGTTCCTTATATAATAACACAAAGGAAGGAAAATTATATTCTATCAATGAGGAGGATACATTTGTACCATCATTGTTTCATGGTCCTTTCATTTTAAAAAAATACACAAAAAAATTCAGGATGTTCCCCAATAGTTGAAACACAAATCTACATACAGAATCCACAGTGGCTCAGTGAGTAAGGCACTGGCTCGCTAGCCTGGGGGCTGCTAGATTGATCCTGGTGTTGGACGAGAAATTTCATCAGAATTTTATGGCGAGGTTTGCCCTTGTTAGTGGTGCAGGACAGAGGGTCTGACAGGACAACTGTCTTGGTGTTCAGATGGTGAAAAAAGCTCAGGCACCGTGTACACATTGGCGTGCATGTAAAAGATCCCCTGGCATTGGAATTTGATAAAGAGGTAGGCTGTAGTGCCACTGTCCGGGCTAGGGTAAATTTCCCTCATAGCATACTGAATGACATATGCCTGTCTTCATTAGCCCAGTTGGAGTAGAAGAGTAGGATGTTGAACCCCATTTCATTTCTTTCCATACATGTACTGTAGAAACAAAAGTCAAATTCTAATGTGAGCATTTTATATACAACTTATTGAACAAATTACAACAATTTATGAAACTAAATAAATTTTATTATTATTAATAAATGACTACCAACTGATCTTCACAATAATACAATGCCAAGATTTAGAATATTACAGTATTTCATTAATAAACAGTCTATAGAGATAAACATACACTTACGATGTATTCACTGAACACTGCTACATGTAAATACAGGTAGTTATTCAGGAATAAATGTAGAATATGTTGAACATAAGACTGTTTTACTTGGAGCCATTATGGTTCTTTCTATCAAAATAACAATATAAATGAATTACAAATAGATAATTAAAATGTAGGTATTATTCTTTTTGACAACAAAGTTTGTCAATCAACCCTCACAAAATCTTCACATTAATACATTTTATTATTACAAAACAAATTCATCCAAACTTTTATAGAGAGGATCACTTCTTATCATTGGTCAATCACAGTCTTGTGTCTTAAACCGAAAGTCAAGTTTCAAGAACTGACTCTTTGAGTCTCTGATGTCCTCAATGTATTTAATTTGACTTTGTGAAAAGAGAATTTATTAAAGTTTTTAATGTCCAAACACGTATCCATTGTAGACCTTTAGCATCTGATTCCAGTACCAATTGCCATAAACGTACCAAATGTTCCGCCACCCTGTAGCATAGTTTTACCCACTGTTTGTATCAACTCCCGACCTCGTATACCATACCTATAAATATACCATAAGCTGTTTTAGCAGGTCATACAAACAAAAAAAAAAGTTATTCTGGTTTTCTGACATTTATAACCCTTCCAAAAAATATGCAGGACAGGTTGGGTTTTTTTTTGTCAAAGGATCATCTGACACCTGCAACTAAATGGTGTAATATCGATGTCTCTCATCTGTTTACTAATGCAATTCTTTGATTTATGCCACCTGCAAGCACTTTTTGGGGCCCACCGAAGTAGTACAATGTATCTAAATACGAGAAAGTTAAATGAGATTATTTACAACAATAACAACAGTCTTATCTTACCTCAACGCAGAGAAACCACCAAATAAAGCTCCAGAAGCCAATCCAACACAAAAACCCATGGTGAAGCCCATTTTAACACGATCAAAACATGAGGGACCTCCTCCTCTGTTATAGGCAGATGGTGGGGGAGCAGGCATTTTAATTTCTTTTCACTGAAACATACATACAATATTACAGAGACTATCACTTTAATCAAAACCCTTTGAGTATCAGCTGATCATGAATTCATAGAAAAAACAGGCAACTAGTAGGCCTAAAGCTCTCCAAAGAATCTGTTGTTTTTTTCTTTCTTAGAACTGCAATATGGACCCGATGTCTAGCAAACACCCATGTCAGATAAAAATACATGTTATACAGAGCCTAATGCCATCAATAATTGTCAATAAAGTCTTTAATTTACTAATAGTATATTGAGGATTTTTGGCATACATGTATGAATTAATGTATGGGCAATCTGTATGGAAATGCAGTTTGGTTCTAGCCTAGTCTAGGAATCCCAGCTTGGATAGATACATTTACTATGTACACATTTAGATTAGTAGATGCAAATTTTGGCAGGACGGCCACCCAATAATTACCACCCATATTATTACTAATAAACTCCATTTCCATTGTATGACAAGCATGCCTACACTGTATGAAACATTTTAACACAGTTTATACAGCAGTTCCTTTCACCCCTTTCACATTTTCTATAATGGTTATCACAAGTGGTAGGCCCACTAACCTTAACAACCAAGTCCAGTTACCAAAAGACCAAGCCAGCTAATGAAACATACACCCATAGCAGCTAAGTCGCATATTTTTTCTTTTGTCAGTAATAAGAACATTTACAACACATGAAAATCTGATTACGAGTAATAACCCATGAAGTAATTATCAGAAATCATTAGAATTTGTTTCGATTGTCTGTCTCATGACCTTAAACAATTTATATTAACTTTAGCTTCTAGAGCAACCACAAGATTTTTCAAAGTGTTCATGGGCCATAACTCTGGTAGTAATTATATCGAAAATTGCAGAAAATCAATAGGATTCTTCATCTCATGACCTTAAACACTGTGTATAAATTTAGACTCAATAGGATATTACCTTTGCCCTCTGGAACGGCAACTAGATATTTCAAGGTGATCAAGGGTCATAACTCTGGCAGTAATTATCGAAAATCGCTGCAAATCGATAAGCTTCTTCGTCTGATGACCTTAACTGTGCCTGTAACTTAGTGTGTATAAATTTAAAGTCAATCGGATATTAACTTTAGCCTCTAGAGCGCCCACAAGCAATTGTGGACGCCGGACCGACGGATGGGGGCGAGAACAATATACGACCACATTTCAATGTGGGTGTACATGTATAAAAATTATTAAAAAAGAAAATAAAAGCCATGGGCCGCAATGGCCATGTCCCCAGGAGTAGTGAGTCCTTGCTTGAGGTGAGGGTTTTCACGCATTATCCTTGGCATATTTTTAATGTCATTTAGACCTGTTACTACACCAAACTACTGGCTTTTGTTTTAATTTCATAATTCGAACATATACTGACCTTGTTATGCTTTTTTCACACAGACTAACATAAAATTTCGTCGGTGTCCTTCATTCATGCAATTTTGTCAGCCATGCTTGGTATCCCACAATTCGGGTGTAGCCGATTTCCTGTCTACTTTTATTTTACTTCCTGTTTCTATTCTACTTTCGTTTTTCATGTTAGAATTTTATTCTTTTTGCCTTTTGCAGCCCAAATGATGTATCAGTATTTTATAAAAATAGTCCCAACAACATATACAGATTTAAAAGGAATGGTAAGGAAATTTTTCTGTTTTTCATACTTTGTGATAATTAAATATCTAATCTGGCCCTATTTACTATATACAGTAAAGGGAGTCACAGTCAAGGGAGTCGCAGTCAGTAAGACTAAGACGCTGGAACACTAGTCTGGAGGTCGGGTGTTCGATTCCTGCATTGGCCGAGAAAGTTCATCTTGATTTTCAGGCGTGGTTTCCCCGTGTCAGTGGTGCAGGTCAGAGGGCCTGACAAGGACAGCTGTGTCATTCGGATGGGACAAAAAAAACGAGGTCCTGTGTATACATTGGCAGATCCCTTGGCATTTGGAATTCAATATTAGAGTAAGCCATTATGCCACTGCCCAGGAAAAATTTCCATCATAGCACACTGTATGACGTATGCTCATCTTCATTAGCCCAGTCGAAGCAGAACAGTATGACGTTAAACCCCATTTCATTTCATTTTACTGTAGTAAGGGTTCTGATTGGACTAGCCTCTCACCATTACTGTCTATCCCTATACACATGTAATATGAAAATAACACAGAACAGTAGGATGTTAAACCCCATTTCATTACATTTCTTTTTCTGATCCCTTGGCGCATGGTATTTGATTTAAGAGTAGTCTGTAGCACTGCTGTCAGGGCAAAATTTCCCTCATAGCACACTGTATGGCGTATGCCTGTCTTCATTAGCCCAGTTGGACCATAACAGTTGGACCTTAAACCCCATTTCATTTCATTTTCTTCTCTTCTTTTTCTTTCCAGACAGTATATACCAATCAGTTTTCAGTAACAAAACATTCTAAAATTATATCAAGTGGTATGGGAGAGAGTGGTCTCCCTGGAATATTTTTTATGTATGAGCTATCTCCTATGATGGTAAAATATACTGAAAAACAAAGGTAAGTCAGCCAAGCATGCAGATAAATTGATTATAATGCATCATATATGCAATTTATGTTAATTTACCATTTATGATTTTGGAGTCAGTCCATGTGCGACCTATGGATGTTTTTACATTTCAAACATTGTTATTTCTGTAAGCATTTTTCACAGATGATCATGACAATCATAATTTCATCATTTTATGATCATGACCATGTACATGGCTAATCTATCACATGACAATCATCACATTCCATCCTACTATACCCTTGATTATCAAATAGGTTTATAAGAGATCTAAAAAAACTATTTCTGAGGGGGTGACTTCATAATGAACAGTCCGAAATAGCTTTAAAGTTATTGATCAAAACTATCATAGTTTATAGGTTAAATGGGGGAGATCAGGCCCTCTAAAACTATATCCTGGTCAAGAAGCTGCATGTTTGTCCAGGCTGGTTATAGCAAAAGTAGAGTGTTAAATTGCAATTAAACACAGCAAAGAATTGGCGAATTATTTTAACAGGATTTTTGTTTTGCCAATAATAAAAACTGGGATAATAATTATCAGCTAAAGTAAAGTGTTATCTCCCTTTGTTTCAGATCTTTTATGCATTTTTTAACGGGTGTTTGTGCAATAATAGGAGGTGTTTTTACAGGTGAGAAGTTTTGACCAAACCGGAGTTGCTTGGGCAAATTAAAACATACAATGAAGACACGACAATTGACATAATATAATTGATGGTATCAAACAGTAAATCAAAGTAGCTCTGTTCTGTCAAATTTGAGAAGCCACCGTGCCCTTAGTGAGAAAGATGTTGGCTCGGCAAACCTGGAGGTCCCTGGTTCGATCCCGGTGTTGGCCAAAGAAAGTATCAGAATTTTTTTGACGTGGTTCCCATGTTTCTGATGTAGGAGAGAGGACCTGGCAATCATTTGGATAGGATGAAAAAACACCTCCATGTGTATACATTCGCATGCACGTAAAAGAACCCTTGACAGTTGGAATATGAATTAAGAGTAGGCCATAGTGCTGCTGTCCAGGCAAAATCCCACTCATAGCACACTGCTTGCCATATGCCCGTCTTCATTAGCCCAGCCGGAACAGAAAAGTAGGACTTAAACCCCATTTCATTTCAAATTTAAATGACCCATGCATGTGGAGCTCTGGTTATTTTGCCATTAAAATGACACAATCCTTGTTCTATGCACATTGGCATACCACTTAAAAGAATATCAGTAGTGGTTGTACATCTGCTAAGAAATATTGAGAGTATTCTACACGCCTCATACCCAACACCCTTCAGTGTTCTAAACCTGTGTATATATTTTTTCTTTTCAGTTGCTGGTTTAATAGATTCAATGATATATCATTCAGCTCGAGCTATACAAAAAAAGATAGATCTAGGCAAAGCATCATAATTCTTTCTCACCACAACCACCATCGTTTTCATATTTTTATTCCATTTTTAAATGTTAATTATTTTAATTATCTGTTGTTACTTCATGCTTTAATAAAAAAAAACACTTTAATCATAATAAATCTTTTAATTTAAATATATCAAGTAATTTTTGTTTTTATTCATCTAAGCTGTGGATCAGTTTCCCATTTCTTCAAGGAACTTCCTTGGTGTGCAGGAAACTGCAGTAGTTATATAAGGGGCTGAAAAGGAAACAGACCCAGTCATTATGATGTTAAAGGGGAAGACCAATGATTTTCAACTTGAAAAGTTGTTAAATGAGACTATCTGACCTGACAATTCAAAAAAACATTGGCTGTTACTAGATAAGAGACCAGCGGCTGCCAGGCAGGATACGCCCACATTTTCGAGAGATGGAGAGAGAACAAGCTAAAAAGAAAGTGATTTTTCCTACAATCAAGGGCCATAATTCATGAATTTACAATTCGATATGCACAAATATAGAAAGGAACCAAGATCTTTAGGTTATAAATATACATTTCAAGTTTCATCAAAATCGAATTAAAATTGCGACCTCTCCAGGGTCCACAACCTTGATATACCATATTTTTACACTATTCGCGTACAAGCGGCGGCCATTTTGTCCGGCAATTTTGGTCCGACTTTCACGAAATTCGAACACAACCTTCATTACAGTGTAACGATGATATAATTAAATGTTTTTTTTAAATCGGATAATAATTGTGACCTCCAGAGGGACCACAAGCTAAAAAAGGCGATTTTCCGTATAATCTGGGGCCATAATTCAGGAAGTTACAGCCCGATATGCGCGAATATCGAAAGGAACTGAGATCTTTGGGTTATAAACTTATATTTCAAGTTTCGACAAAATAGGATAAAAATTGTGACCTCTATAGGGTCCACAAGCTAAAAACGTGATTTTTCATACAAACAGGAGCCATAATCCATGAAGTTTCGATCCAATACATGCCAATATTGAAAGCAGCCGAGATCTTTTGGGGATAAATCTATATTTCAAGTTTCGTCAAAATCGGACAAGAATTGTGACCTGTAAAGAGTCCACAAACAAATTGTGGACGTCCGGACGGACAGGGGCGACAACAAAATACATCCACATGAAAATGTGGGCGTATAAAAAAGTGAAAAATAGAAAAGGCCCTAAACCAAGGAAAATAGAAAAGGCTTGTACATTTCCTTTTTTTTATTCATACTGTACCGGTACTTAATAAAAACATGGTAATGCACAGACTTTTTTTAATTTGTAAGATATCCTCTCACCAGCAGATAAGGGACATGTCGCCGGAAACGCATACTGGATTAAATATTTGATCACTACACAGTCCTGTCAAGTTTGTTGTCCGCGGACTTATATTATGAATTATTTTCAAGGATTGAATTACACTGTTATATAGACTCTTCCCCCCTTTCTATCACTTTCAGATCAAGATTTTTTCATCACATATTTCGAATTTTAAAGACAAAAGAATAAAAACAGATTTGGTAACAATAATGCAACATTTATTTATAACATTCAAATTTGAAAATATTTTAAAAATAAAATAAAGACAAAATCACATCTTCTTCCATTAATAACTTCCTCCATTTTAGTTTGATTGAGAGAAGATTATTAAAGAAATACAACATGTATTTGATCTGAATAAATAGACATTTAAAAGTCAAACAATTGAATACATTTAGGCCATACAAAAAAAAAATATTTTGGATCTCAGACAATCCTTAGCAAACATTTGAAGCGGGAGGGAGGTTTTTATTTTGTCAATGGATCACTACTTGGCTAAGTTGTTTTTTATAGAAATATATGATTATCCAGTCTCATTTATGATAAATGAGTCATTAACCCCGTTTACATTACAAATTTGAAGCTGGCACGGCACGGTTAATTTTTTTGTAGTGTAAACAGGTCAAACATAAGCGTGCCGTACTGAGTACCGTGCCAATCTGGCCCACTGAAATGAGCTGGTCTCAGCACGGTACCAGGCGCGGCGTGGTTAAATTTTCTTAGTGTAAACGCTATCCGGTTTGAGCACGGTTTCAGTACGGATAACTGCACATGCTCGAAACGAACCTTGACCTTTTTTCCCTGCAAACTTTGACAGTTCTGTCATCGGTTCTGAAATTAACTTTTCTGTGAAGAGTTCCACATTTGGCGTGCTTGGCACGGTTCTGAGACCGGTTATTTTAGAGTAGGCCTAATATACACAGGTCAATTTCTTGAAATTTATCGCGGCCTGGTACCGTGCCCAGAACGACACGCTTATCACGGCCAAGTGTAAACGGGGCTTATGGATTCATTCAAATTTTTTATATAGATTTACTTTATTAGTAAGTGCAGGAGGACCGCACTAATCAGAAGAAAATAGTCGGTTATTTGAGAGTAAAAAAACATGCAATGTCGCAGGATTATCTAAAATTCAAAATATTTTTTTAATATGGCCTTAAAATCAAGATAAGATATAAATTTGTGGCGTGAATTTGTACATGAAGAATTTACTTCTACTCTGGTGTATTAATTTTTGGCAACAGTACCACATTTGAACTTTGGTCTTTAAGGCTCTGGTAATTCTTCTGACTATTCCATTTAAATTTTTGATGTTATCTCAGAAATATGTCAATTTGTATTGTTTCTTCTATGCATTGCTAATTGGTTTTCCTAAATCATCTGTTATTTCCAGGTTGCTATTTGTATTATGATGACAAAAATCAAAGAATTATAAGTATTAATGTTATAATATAATAAACTTATACATGGTCAAAATACAAAAAAATGACTGGTATGATATAATAGCAGGGCTCTCAAGTCAATCATATTTGACAGCTGTGGCAGTGAAATTGACCAACTGGAGAACTTAGTGAATTAAAATTTCAAAGAATTTAACCTTAAAACACAACAAATACAGATAAAATTTATAACTTTTATGTTTAAAAACACTTAAATATATATATTAAAATTTGGATAATGCTAAAAGTTGTCATATTATCTGGAAACCAGCAGCTGCCAGGCAAGATACGCCCACATTTTGCAAGAGATGGATATGTTTTATGTTTAAAAACACTTAAATATATATATTAAAATTTGGATAATGCTAAAAGTTGTCATATTATCTGGAAACCAGCAGCTGCCAGGCAAGATACGCCCACATTTTGCAAGAGATGGATAGAGAACAAGCTGAAACAAAAACGTGATTTTTCGTACAATCAGGGACCATTATACTTGAAATTAAAGTCGGAATATCGAAAGGGAATGAGATATTTGGAATATAAACATATATTTTAAGTTTCATCAAAATCAGACAAAATTTGCAAAACTCTAGAGGGTCCACAACCTTCATATTACATACTTTTACACAATTTGCTTCCAAGGAGCAGCCATTTTGTCGGGCAGTGTCGTTTGATTTTCCAGAAATTTTAACTCCAACCTTCATTATGGTGGAGCAGTGATATATTTAAACGGTTTTTAAAATCGAATAAAAATTGTGACCTCTAGAGGATCCACAAACTAAAAATTATGTTATTTTTTGTACAATCAGGAGTCATAATCCAGGAAGTTATTGTCTGATATGCACGAATATCGAAAGGAACCAAGATCTTTGGGATATAAACATGTATTTTATGTTTCATCAAAATTGGACAAAAATTGTGAACGCTAGAGTTGCCACAAGCTAAAAATTATGATCAGAGGCCATAATTCAGGTAGTTACGGTCCAATATGAGCAAATATCGAAAGGAACCAAGATCTTTTGGAGATAAATCTATATTTCAAGTTTTGTCAAAATTGTGACCTGTAGAGTAACTACAAACAAAATTGTGACCTGTAGAGTAACTACAAACAAAATGTGAACGGAGGGACGAACAGGGGCGACAACAATATACGTCCACATGAAAATATCATCCATGACTAACGAAATACATCAAAAAAGTGACTGATTGGCAAAATATGGAAGCAAAGCCTTGATTAAAGTATATGAACATGAAATTCCTGAAAACAGCCAATGATGGATATAAATTTGAAATTATGATTATTAATTAAAATACAGATCTATATTTTGTTCCATTTGAAATTATGATTTTTGATCAAAATACAGATCTATATGGTCTTTACTACATGAAGATCTGACCAGTTGTAGTGGGAGATTACTTCAGGGTTCATACCATCAGCTTTTAACCCTATGACATCTGACATTGGATTAACCAATCAGCGTTGATGTTTCTAGTAGGATACCCACAGTTTCGTGAATCGCACGCCAAGAACTCGCTGCAACAAACCGTTTCATTGGCTAATTCCTCACAACTCTTACAGATCCCACTTTAGTAAAGTCAAGTAAAACGAAATTTTGAAGTATTGAAAACGAAATAGGATCTGTGTTTTAATCAGATTGTTGCAAGTCAAGTTATTTAAAAATTCATGCATGCAATAACTTGTATTTTCATAACAACATTTCATTAGTGGTAGGAAGTCTTAAAATCTTAAATTGGCATTGGGAAACACATTAACATAGCGCAATTTTATTGGAAACTATCACTGGTTTTATTCTAAAAGTACAACCGACAACACTGCAAGAATTGGCCGTGGCACTGCAAGTGGAGTGGGTCAGATTGCCCCAAATCGTGATTGGACGGTTGATTAGGAGCATGCCACGACGAATTGCTGATTGTCTGAGGATTGGTGGAGCAATTACTCATTATTAAGACAAAAATCAAAAACGTCCATTTTCACTTTTGACAGTGTATCTCTTTGCGAGTGAAATGGGGCCGTCAGATAAGCCGCCCATATGAACTGTTTATGTTCATGTGTAGGCAATTGGCCTGTTATTAACATACACTGGTTACCCCTAATCAAAACAGCAGTGCATTTCCGCAGTTTTGTATTGTTTCTGAATATCCCCTACTTTTTTTGAAAATGAAATGAAATGAAATGAAATGGAGTTTAACGTCCTACTATTCTGCTCCTAACCTGGGCTAATGAAGACGGGCATACGCCATACAGTGTGCTATGAGGGAAATTTTGCCCGGACAGCGGCACTACGGCCTACTCTTATATCGAATTCCAACTGCCAAGGGATCTTTTACGTGCATTCCAATGTATACACGGGACCTCGGTTTTTCGTCTCATCCGAAGGACTAGACAGCTATCCTTGTCAGGCCCTCCGTCCTGCATCACTGACAAGGGGGAACCACGCCGGAAAATCTGGATGAACTTTCTCGGCCAATGCAGGGATCGAACACCCGACCTCCAGGCTAGCGAGCTAGCGTCTTACCCACTTAGCCACGTGATCCCCTACTTTTTTTGAAGAGTATATATGATTCATTAGAATAAAGAATGATAAGAGCCTTCCACACTTTAACTAATACTATTCATGTTCAGGATTTCTCATTTAATTCTAGAATCACCGTAAATATCAAATCTGGCATTTGGTAATTGTCCAGAGTAATTTGAATACCCATATAGAAAATGTATATATGAATTTAAATATACTATAACCAGAAAAATAATGATTATATCTTTGCATATATTCATTTTAATGTAAATATCAAAGGGTCTGTTATATACATGTACATGTAAGGGTGGATAAAAGAGTCTATATCTGCTGATGTCCAGTACAATGAGGGTCTATCTGTGTTCGGGTTCAACATTCTGTACAACAATAGTTTTAGTGATGACATCATACACTGTACGATTATGACTATGAAAAAAGAGGGTGAGGCAAGCTGGCAGGAAAAAGGCGATGGTGAAATTCTTTATGGATGATCGAACAAATGCACTGAAATATAAAAATAAAATAATAAAAGGATTACATGTAAACGGTACTAAAATCATTAAGCAGGGCATGGGTTTAATAAAAGGTTTTAAGCGAGAGCGAGTGATTATTTCAAAAATTCGATTGCACGTAGGGGTCTTTAGCAGTAGCAGGAAACCAGAGGATCCAGAGAAAACCCACGAGGTTGGACACGCGACCCTACTCCTTGTCACGTACTACCAGGAAATCCAAACCACGCCACGCGCTAACCTTTCGGCCACCCACCCCCACCTCGCCTTACCCCTGCATAAACAAACAATAACACCAAGACTAAGTTTTTAAAAATCCATTTCATTTCAATCACCAGCTCAAAATGTCAAAATATACCTTGAAAGTCTGCAAAAAAAATTGTTCCATATTTAGGATCAGAGAATTTTGAAAAGTTATTTCTATAAATCATTTGCCCTGTTTTCAAATGAAAAGTTTGGCAGACCAACTGACAATGGCCGCAGGCGACAGAAATATATGTCCACATTAAATGTGATGCAATCAAATATACAAAGCTTTCCTTTTTCTGCGTATGTCTGTGGTATGTAAAGTAATATATTAAAAAAAAAATTGCTGACGACTCTTGACAGAATACATGACAAGATGTCATCTACAACTTACCAAAGCCAACCGACATCAGTAGCAGGTGAAACAAGAACTGTTCCGTTCCCCTGGTCTACAATCTGTTCCCCTGATATCAATTTCAATCCCAGAAGTCTTTTACCAGGTGTAGCTCCTCCCACAGTTCCTATACCATGCCGTAAACATAATGTCTGAAAAAATAATAGCATTAAAAAAACTGGTGTTGCTGTCAATTTAAATTTAGTTAATACAATATGCCAATCACGGGTAATTTAGAACCCTAAAGCTTATCTGAAAATATGATGCTTCTTATATTGATCAGGATAAACAATGAATGAATGAAACAGGGGTTTAATATCCTACTCTTGTGCACTGACAAGGCTAATAAAAATGGGCCAGGAAAGAGAACAAAACAGACAACAATTTAATAGAGATGTACATGTGTGATAGTGTAATCTGTATTTTAAAGTGATAGAGTCGAGAAATTGGGTTTAATGTCCACTCAACACAAACTAGGTCATCTCGGGACTAACATATGGTTCAATATTATTTCAATAATTTGCTTATGCGTATCAGTCTTTCGCAGTTGGTGGAAACCATAGGACCCGCAGAAAACCTGCAAGGTTTGACAGACGAGCCAACTCTTTATCACGCTCAAGCATGGAATCGAACCCATGCCACTTGATTCAATGACAGACCTTGTGATTTCACGAACACCCGTTAAACCACTAGACCCCACCATACCCTACCCTGTATTGTAAAGTGTTAAAGCTAGAGTACGTAATCAATCCTATCAAAAAAAAAAATACTGCTTCTTAAAAGCTCTATCTGCTTGAAATTTTGATTAAAATCGCAGTGATTTAAAACCAACCTAAAAGAAGGAAGTTTTAATAACTTGATTGTTGATACTAAGTAAACTACAATGTGTATGTACAATGTACCTCAAATATTGTTATTAACAATCTGTTGATAATTTCCATGGCGATGACCTCTGAGGTTATAGCGAAGGCTTTATCATAATCCATTTCCTCCATGGTAAATAGTTCCTGATAATCTATAGAATCATACCTGAAATAAGATAACAAAAACATACTGTGGTGCTTACATAATTTTATATAGATTGTTAAATTCAAAACAAGTCACACAGAAAAATCAATCATACATTTGCAGAATTATGTTATAAGCCATTTGTCCTCATTTACATTAAAGTTTAAAATCTAAATGGGTACATGTACCGGTAAGCATATGCGTACAGGGAAATTTTGACTGGGGGGGGGGGGGGGCGGTGGTGGTTGGTGCCCAAAAAATGTAGTTTGTTTCTTAGTATGTTACATAATAATAATAAATTCGCTGTTAAATTGGACACATTCAAGAACACAATATCTTTTTTTTATACAACTGTGTGCCCAAATTTTCCCAGCATTTGGTGCCCAAAATGGGGGGGGGGGGGCGCCCCCCCCCCTGCCCCCCCCCCCCAGCTCGTACGCCTATGCCGGTAAGTTAAAGAATAATCATTATCCTGGTTTAAATTAAAATTAGTTTCTGAAACTAACATGAAGTTAGGTACTGAGCAAACCAGAAATATCTACAAGAAAATAACTAGCCCCGGTTACCCACGTCAAAATAAAATTAAATGAGGTTTAACATCCTACTTTTCTGACTGAACCGACTAGGCTAATGAAGAAAGAACAGCAACACTACGGCCTACTCTTATTTCAATTTCTAACTATCAAGGGTTCTTTTATGTGTGGCACATGTCAATGAACAACTACATGTATAAACTATCCTTGTCAGACACACCATCCTGCACCACTGACAAGGGTAAACTGCACCAGAAAAACCAGAGAAGCATTTCCCAAGCTCAAAACATACCTTGTATAGTCTGGGAATTTTCAATAAATTTTCAGCTAACATAACATACATGTATTAACAGCTGTGCTACCTCTTAAACTGAACTATTTTAATATCAATATCCATCAGATTGAACTGAATTTTATATAATTGACAAGCGTATTTAATGTTAATGGTATAGAATATACAGAGATTAATGTTATATTGTAATCATAAGGTATAGAAATAATCTGATAGCTGGAAGACCAGAGCAACAAACAGAACAGGATCATGTCATGCATAAAGTCTTAATTAATTAAACAAAGATGTATGTATGTGCAATCTTGTAGTAGAAATAGTCAGGTTAACAGTGAATATACATGAACACAATGATGGGCTGATCTAGAAAAAAGAGGCTAGAAAACAACTTACATATGGCCCCATCTTTTCATAACAAACAGTGTAACAAGGAGTTTTATATAAAATAAGAGAGTGAAATCTATCAACTCTGCTGCTACTCTTCTCCAGAATGTTGGTACACGATATAAAACTCCATTTACTGAAAAAATAAAACAGATGTTTACTATATTATTGTTATCATTTTAAGTTGTTTCTTCCTCTTTTAATCATAATATCAGAGTATTATTCAACATCAAATAATCTTTGTATACATGGTCATAGTCCACTCATTGATGTATGTATATGCTGCGCTTAATGGACAATACTATACATGTACAATGTAATATGCAAATAAAATTTCTTTTTAAAAAAAAGCTATGATTGTATTTATGATGGACAGGTAAAGTGATGACAATGTACGACCCCATTTCAAAATGGGTGCATACAAATATATTTTTTTTTAACAATTAATGCTGTAATGATTCATATATCCTACGTTTTTAAATTAAAAATGACTATTCCTCATAAAGAACAGAATATTTTCAAATATCGATGCCGGTACCAAAATCATTCTGAGTTGAAATAATTGTGAATATGGGTAAATCTAGCTACGATTGGATGCCTTTAGTTCCAAGTGGCAAACTCAGTTTCTTTATTAATGCATGTAACATCTTTAAAATAAGATAAGTTTATGCTATTATGATTAATTAAACTTACAGAGGCCAGTGTAGTGGCACAACTGTCGCCAAACTCCAAATATTCACGTTTAAATTAATGGCGCGTTGTTTTTGTCTGACATTCACCGCCATCGAAATCCATTCATAGTTACAGTGCTTTAGATTCCCCTTTTGATTGGCTGGTAGCCCTATATTAAGCCCCGCCTTCACGATGACAGCGTATCGTTTAAAAAGATGGCGGTCTTAGTAACAGCTTAACGCCTGGATTTTAAAAACGACGATATGTACCCGTTTCAGGTAGGATTATATGCTTAATTGCAGTTGGGTGTGTGGCAGAAATATTATAAATAACAATAATCAATCGTTGTTTTGACTAAAACTATTGTCAATTTTGTTTACAAATGCCGGGTGCGAATCGCTCCCGCATGTGCTACGTTTAAGTCAATAGCATCAACTCTTATCTCGAAACACAGAGGGTTGAGACTATAAGATTTGTTATCTACATGTAGGGTAAATCATTTTTGCGAACATACAGCGTAAACATTTTTTTCAAGGATTCATTGTTGTTTGTAATGGTCGCTGATTTAGTAGTATTATAAATCTATCATAGACAAAACTGATGATAGGCCATAATAAATAGACTTGCCTGGGGCTGATGTATTATTGGTAACTCTTATCTCGAAACACAGAGGGTTGAGACTATAAGATTTGTTATCTAGGGTAAATCATTTTTGCGAACATACAGCGTAAACATTTTTTTCAAGGATTCATTGTTGTTTGTAATGGTCGCTGATTTAGTAGTATTATAAATCTATCATAGACAAAACTGATGATAGGCCATAATAAATAGACTTGCCTGGGGCTGATGTATCATTGGAATGAACATTGTTGGATGGTGTAGCAGGTTGTGTGTTATTGTAGGAGGCATTACTGTCATTAGTTGTACCAGTAGATCTGAATATAGAACTATCCCATCCATTGCCTGCTGCATTACCACCTCCCATACAAGACATATTATACATCGGCATCATTGAACAAATTGCATTCATCTGTGATAAACGTCGATAATTGTGAAGCCATGGCTGAAGAGCTTGGGCATACTCCCTGGCGTTCCTGTATCTTAGATGGGGTTGGATTTGACTGTAATCGTATGCTGGGTGTGGCCCATTGTTATTTTTTCCATCGTGCACAAAACTTGTCCATTCAGCTTCATCTTTAACCTTGTTTTCATACTTTTTATCTCCGGAGACGGCTGAAACGTCATTTTTGGTAGCCATGATTTTGATTTTGGTTTATCCAGTCTTTTTTACCGTTCATTTGAGTATTTATTCTACGAAGACCTAAAGTTCAAGTCTTACTTAACGATAGACCAAAATTCGAGATGAAAAGAACCGAAACGAAATATTGTTATAAAACAAAAAAAGCAATCAATTATTTTGGAAAAAATAAAGCAAACTATATGAGTTTACCAAGGACAGAGGATTTCATGAACATGGCAATTTTCTACATTAAAAGAATTCATGACATTTCTTAATTCATTTGTTCGCGTGATATTTCCGACAAAGCTGAGTGGAAAGGAAAGAAAATAGATTTATTCTAGCTCTGTACGAAGCTTGGTAAATGCAAATAAACTTTTCACGTTTATATAGTAGGCCTATATGCATGCTTATTATTGTACCTTCTGACATTTTATATGATATATATGGAAACTCATGAGTAGTACAGATAATTATTGTATACCCAAACAGATCGAATCAAGGTTGTAGATCTATATAATGAAGCTTTATATGGCTACATTTTATATTTATAAATGACTCGTTGAGCAAGGCGAAACAATTTCTTAAAATAGTAATTACGTTTAAGTCTAAATCCAAATTAATTTTAGCAAAAATCACCCAAACCGAACAAAATGAAAATCCCACCGTCCGATATGGCCAACAGACAAGAAGATCGAATTGGTTGGGAACGTTTAGCCATAAGGTCCATGGTTTAGCCTAGTATTGAGAGATCAGTTTGCTACAAAGCTGGCAATATCCAATTCCGAAACTGACAATATCCAACTACTTTAAAAATCGTTCATCTGGCACTGCCCTGGTTATTGTGGATCTAGATCCAGTGTTCGAAATCACTAGAAAGATTAAAAGCATCCACACCGCAATAAATGCATCGTATTTCGTTTCATTTTTTATTCCAAAATTTGACTGAATCGTTCGATTTTCTGAAGCGCATGCGTTAAGGTATACGGCAATATACGGCAACCTTTCCACCGCAAGTAAAGTGCACGACGGGGTCAAGGCCAAATTTAATTTTGCGTGTTTGTTTCATACGAGCAGCTTATTCTTGTTTATAAAACCCCTTAAAATGGTTCAAGCATGGATTATGAACGATGATGGGACTGACCAAAGATTGGAACATAAAACTGACCCACCGCAGTATGTTGACTTAGCCGAGTTAAAGAAAAGAACTGGGATCATGTATTGGGAGGTAATTTTGTTTTTAATAAAGTGAAAAGAATATGGATAGCCGTTCAGGCCAAAAAATTCTAGTTTGTTTTATCCACTTGTCAATGATGTACACATCTGGGAGAGGTCCCTTGGGGACAGTCCAAAATAACATTAATTTATACATGTAGTCGACTATATTTTAATAATTGTATTGATATTTGCCTTTTGGAGTTTTTTTTTTATTTTTGACGGTAAGCTTACCCCTATGTTAATGTTACTCTATTATTTATTGTTTTATTACGAATCTCTGATTCGGTTACTGGGTTAGTCAGAAATATATTATATGACCTCGGTTAGTTTTTTTTTTTTTTTTTTCAAATTCGACAATAACACTCTTGCTGGCTTGAAAGCTCCAGAAAATAAATAATATCTCTATCTAAGTACTAGATGTTTAAATGTCCTACCTATTGTGTAAATTATCCATTACATCCTATTTTACTTGTCCAGAGTGTTCGAAAATATTTTTAAATCGAAGTTTCATTTGAAAAGGTTTACGTTAGACGTTTCAAACCATTATGTTGAATTTTTCAAATTTTTTAAATAAGGTGTATTAAGATGAAATTTGTATCACCAATTAATTGTAATATTGTAAAATAGTACAATTTGTTGACTAGAATAAAGATTGGGACATATTATTCAGTTACAACAAGAGTGGTATTGAGCCTTTAACATGTCCTATTATAATTTACAGATATCACTACTGTAAGATATTTATAATGTCACAGAAAACATTCTGAGGCCTGAGATAAGTCATATGAAAAAAAATACTGGACTGGTACCGAGTCAAACCACGACATTAGGAAATCGAGATAGATAATTCAGCACAGCTCACCACAGCAGGCATACAAAACATTGTGTTAAAATTAATTTGAAATTATTTATGGATTTTTTAACAGCTGTGGTATTCCTTACATACATAAAGTATATATGTTCGTTTTAAATGTTTTATGTTATGTACGGGGTCGATAACTCAAATGACATTCAAATTGATCCACTATGAACAGAGAAATAAGCGATTGAAATTTCCGCCTAGCATCGATCATCATTACTAAAGTCAGTACGATAAACAGTATAGTCTCGGTTATCCATTTAATCGTTAAATCATGAAGGAAAGTTATGCAGTAAATCGGCTCATAATCAACTAAAGATCGCAGGCTAGCGATGCCATCTAGAGTTGATTATGGTCTGGATAGGTTAATTAATGTCTAATTAATAATTTAGATAACATTTCAGGCCTAAAGAAAGACCTGCAATAGACAGATTTAGCACTTGCATAATGTACATGTATGTTTAACTCATGTGTTTTTAAACAAACGGTGGGGACTGAATCTATTTTCTTCCTCCCATTATATACTACCCTACGCTGGAATCAACACAACTGATATCTGCGATATCACCTTTGTGGAAGCGAACCTTACACCACTATTGAACGAACGAACTGCGTCTAACAGTGTGATCTGTGTCTGCTGTTGTCTGTTTTTTCGTGGGTGTGTGTGGGCTTCAAACTTTCATATTCAAGCTCAAGGACGGTCAAATCACTGGTCTAGTTTAATCGATCGCGTCGAGGTGTCCTGTGCGTCCTGTTAGACTGGAGTCTTAACGATTGTGGAAATGTTTAGGTTAATTGGTCCGCTATCGAATTCACTATAAAGATACGAACTTGAACGTATCAGGGATTGGATGTGAATAGCCCCGAATCAGAGACAACAAGACCATGTCCTATTTATTTTAGTCACCTAAAAGGCTATGTAAAAGAGACAGACATTAAGACCAGTCTAGTAGGATTATAAAGTAACCTATACGGGCTTATCTGATTACAAAATATATAAGTAAACATAAAAATGTAAAGATCCATATCAAATAGAAAAATTCACGCTTTGCTTTGATTCTCTATATTCCCAGTTTGGAGTATATTTTACTTTTATAGTTTGAGCCCACTTTAAGCATAAAGAATATGTTTTATTCCTTGGAACCGTGAAGCAGCCCGTTTTATACTCTGTATGACTATGTTATCTTTCTTTGTCAAATGTAACCTAGAATAAAGAATGACGCAACTTGGCAAGTCAAATAAGTAGGCCACAGTGTGTGCAGTTATATTTATTGATAAAGTTCACCGAACCTTGTCAAGTAGTCCTTGAAACAAAACTATAAATAGTGCATTCATAGTGTAGGACTAAAAATAAGAACACTAACCTGACAGGGTAGTGATATCCGGTAATTAGAAGACCCTGACACACTGCCACGTGGCTCGAAATGTTCGCCTGTCTACTTGTCGCGGACAGGCATTTTTTAAGTCTTACAGGTACCAAGTAAAACTAAATGTCGCTTGCGACAGGTGGACTAAATCACACTTGTAGTAAGACCACAATACTCACGTATCACGTCATCCCAGGTAATGTGACCTAATTCTACCGTAACCCAAGTGCCGTAACGGCACCGATGTAATTGTAAATATTGTGGTGGCACGAATGCACGTAGGGCTCGTTGTCGGGTGTATATGTATGTACGTGCTCCATCAATGTTAGGGGGACAGAACCTGAAATGCCCGAACAGATGTCAGGTTACAGAGGGTGGTGCCCGTTTTCTGCGCGAGGCGAAGGATTTTTGACGGCCGTAAACGCGTTTTCCTGGCGCGAATAATGATAGTGGGAACCTAGCGTTAAGACGGCTGTATTAACATCTTCTATTTCTATGTAACTATTGTAACACCTCACTGATTTGCAGGAATAAAAAGAATAGTCAGACCTTTTATGCTCCTTAACGCCGCCGTCCCATGTGTAAAAATAAAATAGATATTTGAGTAACATCCTTGTTGAATAAGTATGCCAATAATAATAATATATAAAGACAGTGTGTGAAATTATATACGTATGCAATGTATAACATCAACGATAGATATATGGTTGGTGTAATTCATTATTTATACAATGGGATCTTGACTTGACTTTTTTTAAAAAAAAATTAATAACCAGAAGCCTTTTATGAAGGGTGTTTCACCGGTGTCCTCTTACAAGGATAAATCTAGTAATATCAGATAACCTTATACAAAATGATCCCGCGACGCATCGGCGTACGGACTCGATGAATTTTAGAGGAAGGTGGGCGGGGGGGGGGGGGGGGCAAAACCTGCAATGCCCGAATATTGCTATTGCGGGTTACAGACGGCGGTGTCGGTCGTCTGCACAAAGCGAAGGAGCGGTGCTTACCGTGTCCCCCCCCCCCCCCCGCCAAAAAGAGAAGAAAATTTGGCAGCCGCAACCGCATTTTCCTGCTATTCCAGCCCGTGAATACAGCAACTTCAAAGTGGTCTAATATAGCCTTAAGTTATGTGGCTGACTCGAATTCTAATCAACCAGTTTTTCTGCTATTCCAGCCCGCGAATACAGCAACTTTAATGTGGTCCAATATAGCCTAGCTTAGGTGACTTACCCGAATCCCAAATTCCAAACAAGCAATCGATAGTTGTGGGATATGGGTGTCTCTCGCTCTTCGAGAAAATTTAGTCGCCGCAAATGCGTTTTTTTCTGCTATTCACGTGATTTAAAGATACATTATGGGAGATTGGATAAAGAGCGGGCAGTTTTCATTATAATAGTTTAAAACTAGATAACATAAAGGCAATTGGCTGAAAATTTCATTCAAATTGATCCACTATGAACTCAGAACTAAGCGAATGAAATTTCCGCCTAGCCTCGTTCATTATTACTAAAGTCAGTACGATTATCCATTTAATCGTTAAATCGTGAAGGAAAGTTATGCAGTAAATCGGCTCATAATCCACTACAGATCGCTGGCTAGCCATATCATCTAGAGTTGATTATGGTCTGGATAGGTTAATTAATATCTAATAATAATTTAGATAACATTTCAGACCTAAAGAAAGACCTGCAAAGACAGATTTAGCTCTTGCATAATGTATGTTTAAGCAACTTCAAAGTTTCCAATCGGTTTGCAACCGAAATCCCAATCTTTGCCGACCTGAATTCCAATCATCCAATCAGACTATTGCAGCAAAATTTCAAATAATACAGTGACCCCAGATAAAATGTTCAATCCATATTAAATCCAGTACAAATTCGTTGTACTCAATTAAAAGTAAAATTAGTGCTTTATTAGATTTCTGGCACTTTATATTGCAAGTACATGTAGATGAAATAATAATTTTTGTTTTCACTTTTGCCGTCTGACCGAAATGTCATATTGTCCGAAGGTCAGTTGCCCCCCGTCGAATCGTACGTCTATGCTAGTGTACATGTTTTAATCATTTAACGTGATTGGTCTTGGATCATACTGCACGCAGCGACCCATCGTACGTCTATGCTAGTGTACATGTTTTAATCATTTAACGTGATTGGTCTTGGATCATACTGCACGCAGCGACCCATCTACGTCATACTTCCGGAGCTAGCTGTAGATAGGCAGCCTAAGTTTGGGATGGTCTTGGATAAGAGAGTGACAGGTTAGTCACGTGAATCACGATAACTATTACATCTATTCTAAAATTTTCACTTGTTCTTTGTCATAATTATTAAATGCCCAGACAAAATTTGTAAACTCATTTGAAACTAGCGGATTACTTTGAGTTATTTCCCTTATCAATGTTCCAGTGATATTTTACAGCATAAATATTCTTGTCTTCTTATATGAAGAATTATAATGCGATATTTATTGACGGCTTTGTTGCTGTGGGCCTGTTTGTTTTTTTGTTTTTTTGGGTTGTTTTTTTTTTCGTTACATCAAAACCTTTCTCTGAATTTGTAATTTCTATTGACATTGTTTTCTCTCTTTTTTAAGATTGATTCCGACACCTACGAAACCAACGAGGAGTTAAAACAAATCCGTAAAGAACAAGATTATTCGTATGAAGATGAAATTACGATAACAGAACAAGCTTTACCTAATTATCACGAAAAGGTATGGGTGATTCTACACCTATGTTTGAGTTCAGCATAAGTTTGTTTTGAGCTCATGCTTTTGTCAATCAATTATGGAAAGCCCCGCCCTTATTTAGATTTCTGCTACTCTGGTCCAGTCTATTACAAAAGAAAACAGCCGATCTACTACTTTTATTTATAGACTTGCAGCCAGTCAACTTTTGTTTACCAACCAAGACCTCCAGAGCACTAAAGCTTGTTAGAATTCTATTGAAATCACAATATAGCCTACCCGAAGTCGATTTGATTATTTTTTATCTGCCGAAATTTCAGTCGACATAACTGTTAGGAGAGCGGGGGTAGCGATATTCCGGGGATGGGGATAGGTATCCTTAGTCAGAGCAAGTGTTGGCTTAAGATAGCTATCTTGCAAATCCAAGCAGGGAATTCACGATTCGCTAAATCCCCAGTGTTAGAAACAGCAGCATTTCAGTAGAACTATTTATAAATTCTATGAAGATTCAGACGACCATATGATGTGGGTTGCCAGTTCCATGAAAAATAAAACAATCAACACTTATTTTATACCAAAATAAAATCCCATGGCAACACTGCTAACACACAGCTAGGGGATTTTATTCTGGAATTATTTTCGAAGGATTGCTTCCCTTTCGCTCCATCGGTATCACTGCGATTCACGCTGACCTGCACAGTTCCAGGGATTCTTGCACCCACTACTACTAATTTAGTAAGAAGTTTATTCGTCGCAATCTTGGAATTTTTGTTGTCTTTTATACCTTGAGGAAAACTGAGTTTTATCCCCGTTACTACTCGATCTTTTCAGCTGAAGATTTTCTTTATGGAGCATCTGCATTCTGATGAAGAAATAAGATATATCCTGGATGGTAGCGGCTACTTTGATGTTCGAGACTCTGATGAAAAATGGATTCGTATTAAAGTAGAGAAAAACGACATGATAACCCTGCCTGCTGGTATATACCACAGGTTTACACTGGACGATAAGGTATAATATATTGCATATGAAATGAAATGGTGTTTAACGTCCTACTTTGCTGCTCTGACCTGGCTAATGAAGACGGACAATGAACTAAATTTTGTCCGGACAGCAGCACTACGACCTACTCTTGTATCGAATTCCAACTAACTAGGGATCTTTTACCTGCATGCCAGTGTGTACACCACTGATAATGGGGGGGGGGGGGCACGATGAACTTTCTCGACCAACGCAGGTAGTTAGCACATGCGAGAGCAACCGTGGGTTAGTGGGTAGGACGCTTGGAGATCGCGGGTTCGCTCCCAGTGTTGGCCGAGAAAGTTCATCGATGTCCCGCGTACACATTTCCGTTTTCATTAGCCCAGTCGGAGTAGATCAACAGTTGGACGTTAAACTCTATTTCATTCCGAACACGAGACCTCCTTGGGTCACATATCGCATATGACTAAAGCTGGAAGTGTATACAAAAGCCGATAATCACTCTTTAAAATTATATTTCAATAATTCGCTTGCGCAGGGATCTTTAGTAGTGGAAGAAAACCGGAGAACCACGCCACTTGATTCAATGACAGACATTATGATATAAGGCGCAGGCGTTAAATCCATCGGCTACCTAACACCCCAGAAATGAAATGGTTTTTAATTTCCAACTTTTCTGTACTAACCCTTCCACTTTCTGGGTTAACTGTTCCGCCTTTCGATGTCCAAATAAAGCAGAAATTAACCTAATTTGTAAACCTTTTTTTATTTCAGAACTATATAAAAGCCAAGCGATATTTTGTCGGTGTACCAGTCTGGACTCCCATTAATCGACCTGCTGACGAACATCCGGCACGACAAAGTTATATTAAGACGATGAAGGGACAATAAGTCTTAAGACTATGTCAATGAAATCTGATAAATTGAGATGTAATATTCTTTCGCAGCCTTTTCTCTTATTTCATTTGTCTCAACTCTCAATACGCCACCCCTTCACCACTCGCACCCCACCCTGCCATCAATGGCATGGATGTTATCATCTTTAAATTTGAATTCCTATTAATGGAATAGAACTATCAGCATTCAAAAAATGGTTGTTTTTACATGATATAATTACTACAGTTGCATGGTTATAAGCACGTTAATATTTGAATTTGTCATATTAATGACGTCATCCCTGTAGGAATGTACGATGTTTCAGCAACAGAGATGCATTATGTGAGATTTAGATAAAGAGCTGACCGCTCTTACAAACTAGTTCCAAAATAGATAATGAAAAATGAATGTGGAAAATGTCATTCAAATTACTTTATTCCTAGCTTAGATTATTTGTATCGTGACAACAGTACTGGATAGACGAGACTTATATCACATTTCCATAATGAACACGGGCAATAGGCAGATTTAGCTCTTGCATAATTTACATATTGTCTGTAATCGCCAGTTTTACTGGTAGTTAGTAAGGTGGCTGGGAGACAAAACGAAACAAAGACGTAATTATAATAAGATTAATGTTTATAATGACTACATGGTAATTGGAACTTTATTAACAGTATTCTTTTTTTTTATTATTTCACAAAATATAATGCCTTGTAATCGAGGATGGTCGGCGAGCTAATGCTTTCACTTCGGTTCATCAGCGCTTCTTCTAATGCATGTGGGCATTTAGATTTGTTTGTATGAATATATTTACTAATGTAGAGTTACATGTATGCTAATATATAAACTGCGAAGGATACAAAACTTGCAATTTTCAATTATCTGCTTGTATAACAAAAGATGTACCGGGTATATCTGAATATTATTATTTCTAACGATGTTTCTAAATACATAGAGGTACCGTTTTCAAGTCAACCTTATTATACCTATTTTACGTGGTAACCATAAGAACCATACTAGAAACAGAATATACATATAAAACATGGAGCCACGGTGGCTAAGTGGCTAAGACGCTGGCTCGCTAGCCTGATGGTCGCATGTTCGATTCCAACAGGGTTTCCTCTCGCCAATGGTGCAGGAGGGAGGGCCTGGCAAGGACAGCACGTAAAACACCCCTTGGCAGTTGGATTTCGATATTAGAGTAGACCACAGTGCCGCTGCCCGGTCAAAATTTCCCCCATAGGAGACTGTATGGCGTATGACCGTCTTCATTAGCTCAGTGGAAGCAGAACAGTATTTCATATAAAATGTTTGTTAATTGCTGGCAAAAAATCACAAAGTTCCTTAAAACTGGAGTGTTGTTTTAAGACAATCCGATTAAAATACAAATCTATATTTCGTTTCGTCTTTTTATACTTTCGATGGCCTACACTACATGAAGATCTGGCCCTTTGTAGTGGAAGGTCGCGTCAGGTGTCATGTCATATGAACGGCTTTTGACCATATGGCGCCGGACATTGATTAATCAATCAACGTTGACATATCTAGTGGTTTACCCACAGTTCTGTGCACCTCACCCCAAAAACTCGCCGTAACAGACCGTTACATTGGCTAATCCCTCACATCATCCAGAACGCCGGTTATATAACAACTCTTCCTGATCCTAGTGTAGCAAAATCAAGTAAAACTAAATTTTGAACTATAAAACACGAAACGAAATAGGATCTGTGCTTTAATCAGTTTAGTTTTTAGAAGATTAAAGTGCCTTAAACGTACCAATATTATTTCTCAGGCCCAATAACACAAGCCATGTTAAGATTTACATAGTGTAAAAACATTGTAAGCCTTGAATCCCAAACTTATTTGCTAACCCAATGGCATTATCCGTAAGGAAATAAGGGGTATTATTCGAGTGTTTTATATAACCTAGCTTAATATGCATATTAGCAATTATTGTAATTAAAGGTTGATTAATGATTAATACAAATTATATATTTTGTATTAATTATGATTTTTTTTTAATTTGGGATAATTTTACTATTCTTGTTGGTTAGTGATTAATTTGTTTCTATAAAGCCAGTATAGAAGTAGTCTATTTTATAGTTGTGGCATGGATTTACTAATTTGATTAATTTAACGTTGATATTGGTATATTGGTATAATTCATATTAACATACATTACTTTATTAACCTATCTGTATATATTGAATTAAAGTACTCATAACACCACCGCCTGTGTTTTACCATCTTCTGCGCATTTCCTGAATTCTTGTAGGTGAAACGTTGGCTCGCTAACATGTAAGTCACGTGTTCAATTCCTGCGTTGGCCGAGAAAGTTCATCGGGATTTTCCGGCGTGATTGATCCTTGTCAGTGGTGGTGCAGGACTGGGGGTCTGGCAAGGGACAACGTATAGTAGTTCTGATGGGACGAAAAACCGAGGTCCCGCGTACACATTGGCGTGCACGTAAAAGATCCCTTGGCAGTTGAATTCGCTGTCTGTGCAAAAAATTCCCTCATTCCCGGCTACATTAGCCCATTGGAGCAGAAAAGTAGGACGTTAAACCTCATTTCATTTAGCTACGAAATACCAACGCAATCCTTACTGGGCAGGACGACCATTAATTGTTCGTCAAGCTACGCTTTTGCTGTAACTAACCAGGTGAAATAGAAGCGACGTCAATTTCCTTGTGCGTCAGTTATATTTGTGGAATAACCTCTTTTCCCATTGGTTCGATGTGTATGGCACTGACTCACTAACCAAGAAATGGATGGGACAAAAGCCCGAGGCCTATATCAACCATTAGCAGCATGCCGAATATCATCTGACAACTGGAAATTGAAATAAGGCTTGGCCGTGGCGCCATTGTCCCGATTGGTTTAGATGAATAAGGTTTTAAACCCGCTTTATTCATTATATTTAAAACAAAGAGTTTTTTCTCAAACGTAATTACAGCTGCAGTTAGGCCCCAGTCGGTGGAGAATAATGGGACATTAAACCCTGTTTCATTTCCCATGTATTATGACCTGGAATTAGATATTATTGTCGTTCCGTTTATTTGGATGGTGTCTCTAGTAACATCTAAAATAACAATTAATGTTAAACAAGCAGAGCTAAATCTGCCTATTGCAGGCCATTCTTCGGGCCTGAAATATTATCTAAATTATTAATTAGACATTAATTAACTGATCCAGGCCATAATGTTGAAGAAAAGTGCCTTCTTGACCTGCGATGACAGCATAATTATACTCCTTGTTGACAGACAATCCAATGTCTCGATAGTAGAAGCCATTCAAAAGATGTTGCTGAATTTTGTGTATTGCAGGTTTCGATTGGTAGGTTGCTCTGGAGTCGATCAACCGGCCTATAAAGAAATGTCTTAAGACCAAGATGTACACAGCCGAAACTGTGATACAAAACGACTGCTTTGAACCTAAACTTTTAAAATACAAAGACACTATCCCATATTTGGTCTGAAAAACCACTTACGGATAGTGTGGAATTTAGGAACTGTAAATTTGTATTCGCTTTATCGACAGCTGGGTATCACAGATCTCCAGTTGCACAGGACATGGGTAAATATATTTTAATAATATGCTTTTACAATTAAATAACCAGTTTTATTCACTAAATATATATGTAATCTGCTATATTATTAGTCACTAGTAATTGTTGATTTACAGTTTGTTTTGATTTTACTATAGAAAAAACCAAATATGGGAAGTACTCCAAAAACACAGCATACTGTACCCATTATAATACAGGGTTGACTATACGAACCACTCATATCAAACAACAAACCTGCAAACAAATTAAAAGATTTTATGTTAATAATATTATCATGATTGATATCAGTCACGTAAATCAATTCCTGGTAGAGCAGACAACAAGAATGGAAATAAACCGTTCCATCAAAAACAATCGTATGGTTTCCAGGTGCGGTCTTGCAGTCACACACGATATAGGATTCTAAACATTTATTAAAGAAATACCCCGTCAATGAGAACGGTAAATCGACTTTTTGATTCCTGCTCGGCGCAAAAGTAAACTTGCCCTATCGGAATACCACACCACCAACACCACCACCAGAGGCGGATAACCGAAAAGGCAGTGTAGGCAGCTGGTACGGCCCAAGCAAAAATAGGCCCAAAAAAGATTTGACGACCGTAGTCGAAAACGGTCCCGCTGCAGATCAGCTATTGACCTTCACATTGGCGGGTTTCTCCTCTAAAATTGTCTTTCTTTCATTACTTACAGGTTGCTTTTCATGCCTTGTTCAGTGGTGGTATGAGATGTTCACAATGGTGCACAAAAACGGTTGACGGCCGCAAAGCCTATATAATGCTAGAGGAATATTCGAGGATATTCGATAAGTTCTGGTAATGAATGATGTAGGTAACCAGGGGTGTACAAATAGGATTAGTTCAGTTCTGAACGTAGGTCTCATTACACTCGCCCTGTACGTTCAGGAACCGTGTTATTGAATACTTGGCGAAAAAGTTTGGCTTACCAGTCAATTTTACTGGGAAACTTTTTACTGCTAAACGTATTTTTTAACAGCGTGTTGTGTCGCTCATACTGGTTCTAGCGAGGTAAGCAAGGTCTTATTTTCTCACTAAGATGTTCAGTTACATTTGTCAGGCGTTCACAGGGACTGACACGCGACCGTTTAGCAGTAAAAAGTTGCCCACTAAAATTGACTCGGAAGTCAAATGTTTTCGCCAAGGATTCAATAACACCGTCCCTGAACGTACAGGGCGAGAGCTGAACTAAAATAGGATGTGATATGTCCGAGACTTACCATAAATAACACCACCAATAGCACTTCCTGTACCATTCAAAGTAGCACACAAACCAAGGGCAAGTGAAAAGGTCTGGGGACCCACCAGATCCAGGATAACAACGCCATATATACCAATCTGTCCACCATAACTAAATCCGAGGACGACAAGAATACCAAGAATTCTCGCGTATTGCGTGACAAAGCCAAGACAAATCAGGGATCCCCCAGATAGAATCGCAGCAATCGTTAGTAAAATTCGACTATTAAAAAACGACAACAAATTCAGAAACCCGAATGCAAGTCGACCACACGTGCTGATAATTGTCATTAGGAATAGAAAAAAGACGCCATTTTGATCTTTGGTGTTGGCATAGTCAACGATTATAAAAAGAAAACCATTTGCCGCGGAAAAGGCGGTAAATACACATACTACTGCTGTAATAAATTCAGGTCGACACATCAGCTTCATCTTTTCTTTAGCGGTTACTACCTCTTTTTCAAGACGATGACCACGGCTAGCTGTCACCTGATCCATAAATGCCGTCATCAAAAATCCGAACACCAAAGGCTGCAATGAGAGGCCAGCTATGACAAAGAAAGCGCCTCTCCATCCATAATTGTCGATAAGGAATTGGAAAAAGTAAGGTAAAATGCTGCTACCTAATCCTCCACCAGCAGTGATCAACCCAATAGCGACACTGACCGATCTCTTGCACGCTATAGAAACAGCTACAATACTTCCCAACTGGGCTGCACTTAATCCCAATCCTTAAAATATAAGAAAAATCTTTTATTCTAAGAACCCAGATAGCTATATGTACTGGCGTGTGTGCGTACTGCTGGTAGTTAATTTTGTTAAACGTTTACAGTTTTTATTGTACTCTTTGTGTTCATTTGGTAATAGTTATGGTTAAAATGGAGAGAAATGAAATGAAATGGGGTTTAACGTCCTACTGTTCTGCTCCGACTGGGATAGTGAAGACGTGAAAATGGGAAGAAATTTTTTCCAGACTACACACATATTCCTGAGGCAATGGCCCGAGAATTCCCTCTCTGGCCATTGCTGGATTGGCTTCTGATACTTGAGCTTTTGAGGGAGTTTGTCTATTCTTCCCGTTCAATCAAATCTATCCCAAGTACAGCAACATGACAGTCCTTCGTTTAATCTGGGTCTTCCCTAAAACTTTGGACAGTGATTTAAGGTATTAAAACGGTGAAAGTATGTTCGTCTCCAAACAGTATTGTTTACATTGTTTTCGATTCGATAGCCTCGTGTGTCAAGCAATTGTTTTTTCTGCAATGTTCTGCTATGCACTGGTTAATTAGACATAATAAAATCGTGAGTCATGACGTAACATTATGCAAACATATTTTGTTCAAATTGGAGCTCTGTTTTAAGCGTAATGCCTTTCTAACGCAGTTAGTAATTGGTTGTTAATCGGACCATTAACCAGTCATAATTTGGAACAGAAATTTGCTTTCGTTAAAGCAGTGTTTAGTGGGATTAGGTATAATCAAACGACGCACTACAAGGAGTATGGACTAAACATATCTCCACAGACTACAATGATTTTATTAATTTGAGCAAAATAGCATGCGTGGATGACAACTAGCTGGATGATGTTTTAGTGTAGGCCTATGTCGTCTACGCAATGGCCTGTGGTGAATGCTCTCACCAATACTGCAGCTTCAACACATCCCAGCAATTTGAATACTTAATTCACAGAAAGTCCGTACAAGACGTACAGGATGTGGTTTATATACACATCAGAAGACGCCGCATTATCTTATCGCCGGAACTTACCTGGTAAAATAGCTACGCTGAGTAATAAAGTGGTTGTACTTGGACAAAATATGGCACCCAGAAATCCACAACAAGACATAAGTGAACCAACAAAGATGGTTAGACGTACCCCATATCTGTCTATTGATATACCAATTAATATTCCTGAAATATCCCCGATAAAATCCATCAGCTATTAAAGTCCACATTTAATAAAGTGAAATTCTATTAATGGACAAAACATATTTCAACATATTCAAATCTGTTTGTTAGGTTGCTGGGTTTGTTTATAAAGAAAATAAAAAAACAACAGCAACCGGCGAGTCTATGGAACTGGATATACAACTGATCTCATATATGCCAGCTTCCTTAGCGTGTTGTGTCAAACCAGAAAGTATCCAGATATTATATTATATTTCCGGCAAAACATCTTAGTAAAGATAACTATATGTGCAATTGAAAGTTCACGTGACCTTATCTTTACGAGAGCATCGTATGACTTCATTATTTTTCTTGTAGCATACTAAGTCAAACAAGATATGGACCTTCAAACAAGCTTGATTTCTTTACCCACAGGTCACAGAAATAAACTGAAATGAGGTTTAATGTCCTACTTTTCTGCTCCATCCGGGCTTTTGAAGACAGGACAAGTCACAGAACAAACGGTATTAGTGTCAAGAACATTGTACATGGGGCTATAGATGTGCTCAACCGGTATATGACCGATCAAGCCCGATGTTAAATACCAACCAGTATATGACGGGGCAAGAAAGATGTTAAATTCCACCCAGAGTTTATTACTCACCTGCACCGAACGTTACGCCTACAAGAACTGACTGAATCATAGCAGTCTTAGCTCGTCCATCGTTAAATTCATCCAGCCACGCAGGTAGAAATGTTCCCATTGAGAACGCTATTCCCATGGAGAAAAAGCAATTCCAGAATCCACAGAAGACAACAACACAGGCACATAACTTCCTCTGCCATTTTGGTTCACTAGGGAACTTAAGCGCGGAGTAAATGCTGAATCTAATGCTTCTCCTTGGTAATTTGCTATAAGAAAATGAATTTCAATTATGTTACTTTTTATGTTATCTGAGAGTAGAGGTGTATATAGAGAGAAATGGGATTTAACGTCCACTTGATACATTAGTATTCTGTAGGCGTCTTTAGAAGTGAGGGGAAACCGGATGACCCGGAGAAAACCCACCAAGTTGGACAGGCGACTCCACTCCTTGTCACGCACAAGCAGAGAATCGAAAGCACGCCACTTGACCCAGAGTCGAGGTATATACTGTATCATAATTTTATATATATATTATAATTATTGGGTAATGAAATATTTTAATGAAACACAAGTACTCACGAAATATCAACCACCGTATCTATGCTATCATCGTCCGAAAGGAAACCTAAATTGTCCGCCCCGGATTGATTTTCATTTGGTTGCATATTTTCATTCACTACAGATACTCGCTTCTTCTTCTTTGGGTTTTTCTTATTAAAAAGATTTCCATCAAATAGCTGATCGGAATCCCCCAGCCTTTCCGACCCGGTATAATACGTTGAGCAATCTTTGGGCTGACAATTAGCACCCGGTCCACTAACCTGGTCACCAGAAAATGAGTCGTCGGTATCCTCAGTACCAGTATCTCCGAATTTAGCACCAGTAGCATAGGCATAATTACCACTTTCGCCATCACGGTAGCCGCTATTTAATATCCCAGTATTTTTTGTCTCTGTCGGTTGTATTAGTAACGTTATACTCCTTGAGTGGATATTTTGAACGGTTTGCAACAGATCGGTGTTTTTCAGAACTACCTCATGTGATAGGTTTTCAGATTCATTAGGCTCAATCAATCTGGTATCTTGATGGTTAACATTGTTATCCATTTTAGCATCTCCACTTTCTAAGTTTCTTTCGACGTCATTTTTTAAAGCTTTATTGTTTTCAATGCCATTGATAGATTCTTCTTTAGTTACGTTACCAGTGCAATTTCCAATAATTTCAACATCATTTGCGTTATCGTCAATGCTGGTGGGATTTTCATCAGTTTTATTGTTATTAGATGATGCGTTAGTTACGTTACCAGTGTAATTCCCAATAATTTCAACATCATTTGCGTTATCTTCAATGCTGGTGGGATTTTCATCCGTTTTAGTTTTATTAGATGATACATCCTTTCCTATACTCGTAGGAAACTCTTCATTTTCATCACCACTTAATGAAACGGCATTACTGTGTACGGAGGTATTCTCAACTTCGTCTGAAGTATCTTCAGTGTTTGCAAGATCACTGGAAAGAAGGTTATTGACTGTCACGTTATCCATCTGAACGTCAGGGGTTGAGATCTCATTATTCTTAATTTCAATGCTAATAACAGCATTCATTACATCGCCATCAGCTGTGACATTATGAAGATTTTCCATTTTAACCTCATTGGCAGAACTTTCAAAATTGTTAATACCATCCAGAGTTTGTAGAACTTGTTCAATTTCAGCTTCTTCAATTGTAGCTTCTTCGGTTTGAATTTCCATGATGCTTAGTTTACTTGTAGGAATTCCATCTGAACCCACGTCAGTGGGAGCAAATTCGTGTAACTGGTTTTCACTGTGGCGAACATTGCTATTTGCATGAATAGGAATTCCATCAATTCCATTTCTTATCTCAATTATATCTTCTTTGCTTTTGACATTTTCTGGACGTAGACAGTTTTTATCATTTGATGGTGTAAATTTAGCTTTTTTCTTAAATTCAAAAACACATTTTGGATTTGCCATTTTTACTTCAAAATCGATTATCCGCCAGTGTTCCTATTTAAACAAATTAAACCTTTTTATTTCGATTGTATCACCTGATTTGAAATCAATCATTACTTCGTTATTTTACATATCCTCAAATCTATAAATCATTAAAAGTGAATTATTCATAGCCGTAGAACCTGCTCCGTTCTCTTTCCTTTTACAGGATCTTTTCTAAAACCAAATTCATAAGTAATCAATGTCACTGTCTAAAATATACACCATTTCACAGATATCATCCTTCGGCAGCATGTATCACAACCGGTATAGCATTTTTCCAACGTAGTAAGGTCCTCTAACCCTTTATTAAATTTCACAATGCTATCTTTATCTATCATTACATACATTTGAATATATTACCCTTTATCTTTTACAAAAGGTGTATACGTAATATTAATTAAATTGACATTTTCGTGGTTTCATTTCACCAATATTGTGTGCTATGTATAGAGTTGTGGTAATTGTTTTTTGCAGGAGTTTTGAAAGGAGTGCAGAATGTGTTTATATTTCTTGAGTTGACATTAAAGTCCCCACCCCACCCTTTCTACCCCACGCCAATGTCCAACACGACAGTAGTTGTTGATACATAGACCGGATATACTTGTATCCTACTGGGTCCGTGGTAATAATGTCCAAATGCTATTGCCCTTACCCAAATTGGGTGCGACAGGTTGGCAAGAATTCAAGAGTGGGTGGGGCGGGGTGGGATATCACAATCCTTGTTAGCACCAGTATCTCAATATGTCTACCACGGACCTTTGGACCTATTCAAGACAGTGGTACAAGGTTTTCGTGAGCGTGTTGCAGAAAAACCGTCCGCAAAAACACTAAGCGCACACCACACCGATTTCGCCAAACTGAAATGGATGCATAGGCGGATGGGCTCGATGACTGTTAGGGGGCAGAACCCGAAATGAGGAGCTTACCGTGTAGGGGTCCCCCCAAGAACATTTTAGAAAATTTGACGCCCGCAAACGCGTTTTCCTGCTATTCCAGTCCGTGAATACAGCAACTTCAAAGTGATCTAATATAGCCTAATGTAGGTGGCTGACGCGAATTCCAGGCAACCAATCAATCGTCCACAGATTTGGGACCGTCGGGAGAAAATTTTGAAAATCTAACTGCCGCAAAGGCGTTTTCTTGCTATTCCAGCCCATGAATACAACAAGTTCAAAGTGGTCTAATATAGCCTAATTTAGGTGGCTTACGCGAATTCCAATCAACCTATCAATCGTTAACAGTCCACGGAGACGGGACCAATTGGATAAAATTTTGAAAATTTAAAGAGGCGAACTTGTTAATATTTGAGAACTAGAAATTGACACAAATGGGTCGCAACGCATATAATAATGTAATATGCATGTATATAAACTGGTTTACATTCAATCGTTTCCGTTTTTACTCTTAATTTCAAATCAATTATGTTCGGCGAAATACGCCAGAAGTCTTAATCGAATAGCCTCGTTTTTCGAGTCCCTTGATACAAATGGCACTGAAACGCATTATGGTACACGATTCGTGTACCAAGGGTAAAATGTTGATTTTGTCTTAAATATTGGATATCAGAAGCACATCTTTTTTCGGTAATATCACACTATTAATCGAACCATCCAATCAGACTGTTGCAGCTGCATTCACAAATAATAATCGATGCCCGAAAAATATTTTAATCCATTGTCAATTCAGTACAAATTCGCGGTATTCAATTAAAAGAAAGGTAAAATTTTGTTTTATTAGATTTCAGGCACTTTATTTTGCCCACTAGTTGAAATAACAATTCTTGTTTTCACTTTAACCGTCTGCCCGAAAAGTGAGATTGCCCGAAAGTTGGGGACAGCTGTCTGACCCCGTTGGTCGTACGCCTATGACGGGATGACACCTGGGCGAGTTAATTAGCTCTCTGTATTAACTTTCTTCCGCAAATTAAATTCTAAAACAAATGGGCAAATAAAATAGTATGCCAAGGCATAAAATAAGTAAATGTTACCAATTCTGATCGGACCAGAATGTGATATTACATTTGATTTAAACAAAGCACATGCTATCGAGGCGGTATGATGTGTCTTCACACGTAGATCTATACTGCACGTGAACCTAAAGGCCAGTCATCTTCTACATTACAGATTGCGATGCCGCGTCACATAATGTCTAGCTTCGTCTGCCATGATATGTCGTGCACTAGAGCATTTCTCATTGCTTTTACAAAACTAAATATTATGCCCGTCCCCACGAAATGCTTAAACAGTCAATATCAGTTTTAAATGCATTCATTTGGAAATAGATTATATCAACACCGATGGTTCGTCAGCGATAAATTGTCTGCCAGTAGCGTCCATATCGACGACGAAACGTTGGGGACAAAGATGATTATTTGTTTTTGATGGGGAATCGCCATTACACAATCAGAGTTACTAAACTGACGCTATGTGATATGTCTCTTTATGTTAATTTCAGTTGTGGGCTGTGTCCTGAATATGATTGTGCCTTATTAGCACTCAACATTAATATTCTTAATGGGTTTCAACCGTGTGGTAATATTATTAGTTTTTTTTATAAATGGGAGAACAGATTCCTATCACATAACGTCATATCAAGTCATAAATAGTACGCTTTGTAATAAGACCATTGACTGGTCAAAAGAGGCTGTTTTTGATACAGATGCACGCATGCTAGCTAGACTCCATAATGCGCCCATTAGTAGCAAAGTCACCCGTGCCAGCTAGAGAACTGGAGTTTATCCATTCAAATTCTATATTGTGTTTATTTAAAATCTAGTATATTTTATTCAGTGCGTAATATCTGTTACCTTTTAAAAAATGATATTGAATTCTTTTTTCAATAATAAAAGATCAATATAATAGGATGGGAATATTTACTTGAAAGAAATAGAGTCTAATTACACAACAGATATAACCGGACTAATTTTTTCCTTGAACAGATTCCAGTCTTATTTTTTCCATCTCTAGAAGATAAAAAATGAAATGAAATGGGGTTGAACGTCCTACTGTTCTGCCCCGACAGGGTTAATGAAGACGGGCATACGCCATACAGTGTGCTATGAGGGAAATTTTGCCCGGGCAGCGACACCATTCTATGACCTACTCTTATATCGAATTCCAACTGCTAAAGGATCTTTTACGTGCCCTCCGTCCTGCACCACTGACAAGGGGAAACGACGTCGGAAAATCCCGATGAACTTTCTCGGCCAGTGCAGGGATCGAACACGCTACTCCTACCTCCCTGCTAGCGAGTCAGTGTCTTACCTACTCAGCCACCGTGGCTCCCATCTCTAGAAAAAACAAGCCAGCAGTGAGGCGGATGTCCCCTGCCGAAATCCCAAAATAAATAGATGACATACATTAATTAATCGCACATTTATATTTTTTTCAACAGTATTAAGCAATCAAACTATACGCTAAGTTTCATTACTCTCTATCAGATAGAATCAAGATTAGCTTCAGCTCGAAATGTTAATCATTGAACTCAGTCAAGACATTTACCTTATGAACATCTACATCAAGTCTAAACATTCTACCTCAATTGAAAGCAGAGTTGTTATGTTCCAAAGTCTTAACCAATCAAATTGCTTATCGCTCATTAGCCTAAGCAGAAAATTCTCACCGTCGAAATTAGTCAAGGTATTGATATAATGAATCTATATTCGGAGTTTCATCGCTCTCACTTCGTTATAACCAAAGTTATCGTGCCTCGAAGCATCAACCAATAAGATTGCTCATTTCTGCTTACCGTAAGCAGACCATGTTCATCATAGAACTCCATCAAGGTATTCACCTAATGAATGCCTACGCCAAGTTTAAACACTCTACCTCAATTAGCAGGAGAGTTATTGTGTTCCAAAGTCTCGACCAATCAAATTGCTTATCGCTCTGCTTACCCTCAGCAGAAAATATTCATAATCGAACTTAGTCAAGGTATTGATGTAATAAAGCTATACACCAAGTGTCCTCACTCTCACTTTATTAGAACTAAAGTTATTGTGCCTCATGTATATCAACCCATAAAATTGCTTATCTTTGCTTACCCTAAGCCAAAAATTCTAATCTTCGAACTCCATCAAGGCATTCACCTAATAGACACCTATGCCAAATGTGAACATTCTAACTCAATTAGAATGAGAGTAATTGTGTTCCAAAGTCTCGACCAATCAAATTGCTTATCACTGCTTACCCTGAGCAGAAAATGCTCATTATCGAACTTAATCAAGGTATTGGTGTAATGAAACTATACACAAAGTTTCATTACTCTCACTTAATTAGAACTAAAGTTATCGTGTCCCAAAGCATCAACCAATCAAATTGCTTATCTCTGCTTACCCTACGCCGAAATGCCCATCTTCGAACTCCAAGGCATTGGCCTAATAAACACCTACACCAAGTTTGAACATTGTAGTTCAATTAGACAAAGAGTTATTGTGTCCCATAAAGTGTGACGGACAGACAGACAGACGGACGAACACATTTTAATATTCCCCTGCTTTCTTCGAAGTGCGGGGGACAATAAGCTGGTAATTATGGCGTAAATAAGGTCAATGTATAGTTGCCTAAAATGTGTGTTTGCGAAATAGAACAATATGCAACCCTAAAACCCGTGTTTCGTATAATTTGGGAATTAGTTACATAGCAGCGGGGGGCTATTTGACCCAGAGTGCCCCGTGCAGCAAAATTTTCCCAATAGAAAGTTGAACTCGACACGACGAATGTAGACGCTTTAGTGGCTTGTCTCGAAGAAGTGAATTCTGGCTAATCGCGCAGTGCGATAACACTCAGCGCAAGAGTCTATAAATAGCCATCGCGCGTTAAATTCTCTACACATTTATCACCTATTACAGCCGTAAAAAATCTACTCTGAATAGCAGTAATATTTAGCTTTTTGGTTATTACAGCAGCTTTAGAAATTACGTTCGTTTTATTTTTTAATTTGCTTTATCATTAACTATATCGTTGGTTTAGTACAAATAATATCTCTGACACACTCGGTTTAGGCAAGAACATGATATACTATTCAAAAAAAGTAGGGGATATTTGATTTTTAAGTGTTATTAAAGTCACCTAATGAAACTGACGAAGAAACAAATGACAAAATGAAATGAAGTTCACATTCATCGATTTATTCCAAATGATCGTTAGACTAAGTAAGGCACAGACTGACCATTATAAGGGTAAAATGATACCCGGGGTCAAACAGCAAAGTTACCACAGCATCACAACCAAGTCAGTAACGGGTAAATCCTCCTCTGTTTGCCAAACAAGCATTGATCCGACGTGGCATAC